CAAGATAAACTCTTTTAGATTTCAGCGTGCTAGCGGCACTGCAACGGCACCACCACCGCCGACCACGAGGCGCGGAGACGCGGGTACCGCAAGTCGCGAGCTCCGACTTTTAGACACGGCGCTCGCTCCACCAACACCCGCTGCCTGCAGCAGGGCAGCGATAGTCAACAGCCTTCCGAATCGAAAGCACCCATGACCACCAAACCCTTGGATCATCGATATCCGCGACAACGGTCTGGGTTTTGGGCATCAACCACGAGAACCCAAGCCCGCGTAACCCTTCAAGTTGGAGGCACCGACGCTCGCCATCCCACGCTATCCACACGCAAGCCCTCAACTGCTACGTCTCTCCCGCTGGATGCACTCCCCCCTCCGCTTATTACCATCCCGACAAACTCCCGCCATCTTGGCTCATCTCTCAAAGTGCGTTCTTGACCCCTGTTATCGTAAGATGCTCTGTCATCGAGCCCCTTGAAGGACGCGATTGTCTCTTTATCCACACAGGATCTTATCCAGGCAACTGACAGTCTGTAGGCTGCCTCAAGCGATATCGGTCCTGTTCCAAAACCAAATTCCCTGATTAGTTCAATCCCCTCTTATTAACCTCTTGGTTATCTTGTGAGAGAAGGGATATGCAGTGGGCTTGCCGTACCAATGTTTCGTGCTGCAAGGTCCTTAGCAGCACACACGCCTAACACGCTCAGCAGCCAAACACCGAGCTTCAGGCTCGCTGATAACGGTAGCCGGACTCAGTCAGATCCCCACTTGGCTCCGCCGGGAATAATCACAAACCGCGATGCAATCAAAAAACCTTTTTGCTCCGTCTCCACTGACCGAATCTTCGTGCACCGTCCGCTTACAATCCTCGACACTCTTGTCCACATTGCCCGCTAGCGTTTGGCGTCAATCGTCCTTGGCATGGGAATAATCAAAGATGGCCAACGCCCGCGAAATGGCGTCGCCCTAGGAGACGGAAGATGCCACGAGACGACGAAAAGTTTGTGTGCAAAGAAGCAGGGAAACGAAATCTCTGTGGCGGCCGGGGTGGACCCCTCCGTACCCGGGTCTCCGCTCTCGGGTGGATCCCATCTTTTACCGGCTCCTGCGATCTGTGCGTCCCGGACGAAAGGGGGCTGCTCTTTGCTCTGCCAAACGGCCAACCGAGGATGACAGCGGCATCCCAGCCAGCTTCTTCGTCCCCAAACGTGAACCGGAATAGACTTCTCAAGTTCGGACGGAAGATCAGCCAGCGGCTTCGAGAAGGGAGAAAACAGGAGACAATCCATGTTGATCACTTGGCTCGAGTAAATGTTCGAGAAGAATGGGGAATCGTCGCAAGAAAAAACGCAGCAAACGGTTAAAAAATCATGACGACAACCCGAACTCATCCCGAGATTTCTCCCCCTGCTCAGCCCTGAGAGGGAACATGCCCCCAATCACCCGGGACCCCCGTCCAACCAAGCACGGCGCCACGGCGCTAGGCCCGTTCATAGTCATTCCCTCTTATTCCCAGACCCATCCCTCGACCTGGATTGCCTAGACTCTCCCACAAATACCGGACAGAGCCGCAAGACTCACGAAAAAGAACGCGCCAAGCCGGTCGCGTAAAGCGGGACAAGTCGGGCGGTCTGCCAATGGACACACAAAGATCAAAGTTGTCTAGATCCATGCGCACGCATTGCATCGGCCGTGGGAAACGACGCGATTGGACTGAGCTCTATCGACTCGAAAAAACGAAGCTTTTCAGAAACGGGCCAAAGAGGAAACTCGCCCTTTTCCCATCCCGGAATAGCCTCGTCTGCGTCGCATCAGAAGGAGAAGAAAAGCAAGGACGGAGGTTCGTGTCAAACGTGCCCGACACGTTTTCCGGTACGTATTCGTTGTTGCAGGCGTCCTTTGCAATTCCGTCCCCTTTCCTCCCTTTCCGCGCACCCCTCTCCCCTGCCCGCGGCTGACACAAGATTCCTGCATCTGCAGCTGCAGAGATGACAATCGCACCCACGACCGTCTATCTCGACCTCTCACACTCTGCCAAATGCCAGTGACGAGATGCTGCTGCATCCACCTCTCCCGTTGGACGATCACAGGCTGTACTGCTCAACCTCCGTTCTCGCAGCGATCCAAGCAGACGGAGCAGCAGCAACACGACAAGGTTGGCATCAGTGGGGAATCACAGCCGTCAAAACCTGACGTGTGTACGTATCCAAATCCCACATGAACGGTTCACGGGCCATCACACAGCTGCTTCCAGGCCCATACAGGGATACACTCATTTTTCTCATCAGGAGGCGTCAGGCAAAGTAGACACACGCCTCCAAGAAACCTGGGACCAGGCACACCAAAGACCTGTGTCTGCCAAAGAGATTGCACCATCGGACGGGAAAAGCGGGCCCCGCCCAGCTGGTGGGTACCCCGAATGCCGCGCCGATGCCCACCCATAGACCGAATTGCGACCGGATCCCAGGCCCTGTCGCCAGGAGCAATACCAGGAGATAAGTATCCCTTCGTGACTCGACTTTTCGTCCTAGTGGGCGAGGATATAAATACATGGTGTGCCCCCCGTGGAAGTGGAAGAGAAGAAGTCTTTGCTCCTTGAGCTTAAGTAACAGTCTGGGCCATCACCCTGCAATCGTCTTTCACTACTGTTCCCCTTTTCGTGACTCTTCCCACACGGGACTTCCTTTTGTTTACTAGTTCTGACTACATCGTTTACCCCTTAAGCCTCCAAGATGGAGAACACATCACGAACATCGTCAAACACCCTACCGCCGGGCTCTTCCTCCTCGGAAGGCCCGCAGTACGCCTCCATCACCAACAACAACACAAACACCCACAAGCGCACGCCTTCAAACGCGAGCAACACCAACCGCCGCGCCTCCATCGCCTCCAACATCCTCCACCCGGTGCAGACAAAAGAGACCATCGACCCGGCCCTCGACGTCAACCTGCCCTACCGCACCCTCTCGCCAAATGCCAACCTGGACGAGTACCGCGTCGAGACAAACGACGGCCAGATCCCCGGGCCCCCAGCCGCCGGCGACGGCGCCGGTGGGCCCGCGAGCAACTACAAGCTCGTCACCTTCACGCCCGGCGACAAGGAGAACCCCAAGAACTGGTCCAAGGCGTACAAGTGGTACTGCACCATGGTCGTCGCGCTGACGTGCTTCGTCGTCGCCTTCTGCTCGTCCGTCATCACGGCCGACATCGCCGGCGTCGCGGAGGAGTTCCACGTCTCTGAGGAGGCCGCCCTCGTCAGCATCACCGTGTTCGTTATTGGTTTTGGTGTCGGCCCCATGGCTTTCGCGCCCCTCTCGGAAATCTACGGCCGCCAGGTCATCTACGGCTCGACGCTGCTCATCGCTGTGATCTTTATTATTCCCTGTGCCGTCGCCAAGAACCTCGGCACCCTCATCGTCTGCCGCGCCATCGACGGTATCGCCTTCTCCGCGCCCATGACGCTCGTCGGCGGCACCCTCGCAGACCTCTGGAGGAACGAGGAGCGCGGCGTCCCCATGGCCGCCTTCTCCGCCGCCCCCTTCATCGGCCCAGCCAGTAAGCCCCCCCATCCTCCCTCCCCTCTTCCAATTTCCCACTAACAATCCCCAGTCGGACCCCTCGTAGGCGGCTTCCTCTCCGACGCAGCAGGCTGGCGCTGGCTCTACTGGATCCAGCTCATCCTCGCCTTCGTCGTCTGGGTCCTCATCACCTTCACCGTCCCCGAGACCTACGCGCCCACCATCCTCGCCCGCCGCGCCGCCAAGCTCCGCAAGTCCACCTCCGACCCCTCCCACGTCACCGAGCAGGACATCGACATGCGGCCCCTCTCCGAGCGCCTCGGCATCTTCCTCATCCGCCCCTTCCAGCTCCTCTTCCGCGAGCTCATCGTCTTCCTCATCTCAATCTACATGTCCGTCCTCTACGGCCTGCTCTACATGTTCTTCGTCGCCTTCCCCATCATCTACCAGAAGCGCAAGGGCTACTCCGCCTCCTCCACCGGGCTCATGTTCATCCCTCTCGCCGTCGGCGTCCTCCTCTCCGCCGCCTGCTCCCCCTGGGTCAACAAGCACTACCTCACCCTCGTCGCGAAACACAATGGCCACCCCCCCGCCGAGGCCCGCCTCGTGCCCATGATGCTCTCCTGCTGGTTCATCCCCATGGGCCTCTTCATCTTCGCCTGGACCTCCTACGCGGACCTGCACTGGGCCGGCCCCGCCTTCGGCGGCTTCCCCGTCGGCTTCGGCTTCATCTTCCTCTACAACTCGGCAAACAACTACCTCGTCGACTCGTACCAGCACCAGGCCGCCTCCGCGCTCGCCGCCAAGACCTGCATCCGCTCCTTCTGGGGCGCGGGTGTCGTGCTCTTCACCGAGCAGATGTACGACCGCCTCGGCGACCAGTGGGCCTCCACGCTGCTGGCCTTCATCGGCCTCGCGTGCTGCGCCATCCCCTTCCTCTTCTGGGTGTACGGCGCACGAATCAGGCAGCGCAGCAAGTACGCTTACTCTGGTGACGACGAGGACGAGGCGGCTGCGAGTGGGAGCAGTAGTGATGTGGAGAAGGCCAAGGCGCCGACGAACGCGCTGGAGCCCACGAGGACTTTTGAGCCTGCGTAAAGACCTGTTGTGAGGACAAGTTGAGTGGTGGTAATATTGTGCGTCGGAATGGTGGTGTTGGCTGTTCCGAAGCTGTTGGGGAGGGGACGTGTAGCTGCAGGGGACTGCATTTGTTTTTGGGTTGGTTCACTCGGCGTCATTGGGGAGTGAAAAGGGAAGGAGTATCAGGAGCTGGCCGGCATATTGAATCATAGACGCATTAGACATGGACGGCGATGCCGTAGACATAATCTTGAATAAACCAAAATCAAAAATCACAATCGCCGGGGCAAAGAGAAACCAAGTAGGGAATCGTATATTCATAAGTCGTGATCCGTATCTACCCATAACCAGCCAACAAGTAGGGTATCCATCAACCTAGGTTTTCCGACAACGTCCAGCAGCAGCCTAGATAATGCGCACCGGCAGGGAGTCTCTGCGCGACAGGAGAAACTCTTCCTTGACTAGCGAATTGTCGCATTTGCGTCCCCGCAAAAAGTCCTCGAGGTTTCGGAACGTGCACTCGGAAATCTCCTGCAGCGCCTCCTCGGTGAAGAAGCCCTGGTGGCCGCAGATCAAGACATTAGGGAACGTCATCAGGCGCGTCAGCACGTCGTCGTCGATGATATGTCCCGAGTGGTCGTTGTAGAAGAGGTCGCCCTCGCCCTCATACACGTCGAGCGCGAGGCCCCCGAGATGCTTACTCTTGAGGGCGTGGGTGACGGCCTTAGTGTCAATCAGGCCCCCGCGGGAGGTGTTGACGAGCATGGAGCCGGGTTTCATCATCTTGAGCGTCTTCTCGTTGATGATGTGCTTCGTCTTCTCCATGAGAGGGCAGTGCAGGCTGATGAAGTCGCACTTGGGCAGCAGCTCCTCGAGGGGCAGGTACTCGCCGAGCTCCTTGAAGGCGTCGGACTCGTAGGGGTCGAAGGCGTAGAGGGTGCAGCCGAAGCCCTTCATGATGCGGGCCATGGAGACGCCGATGCGGCCGGTGCCGATGATGCCGACCGTCTTGCCGTGGACCGTCTTGCCGAGCAGGCCGTCGAGGTTGAAGTTGCCCTCGCGGGTGCGGTTATAGGCGCGGTGGGTGCGGCGGTTGAGCGTCTGCAGGAGGGAGACGGCGAACTCGGCGACGGCCTCGGGGGAGTAGGAGGGAACGTTGGCGACGAAGATTCCGAGCTTCTCGGCAGCCTTAAGGTCGACGTTGTTGAAGCCTGCGCAGCGGAGAAGGACAGCCTTCACTCCTGTCTTGTGGAGGTCCTCGAGGACGTCGGCGGAGAGGACGTCGTTGACGAAGACGCAGACGGCGTCAATGTTCTTAACGAGAGAGACGGTCTCGGGGGAGAGGGAGAAGTCGTGGTAGACAACCTCAAAGTCGGAAGGGGAGTGTTCGGCGAGGGTCTTCTTCTTGGCCTCGTGCTCGGCGGACAGGTATTTCTTGTCGTAGGCCTTGGCGCTGAAGACGGCGAGCTTCATGGCGGCGGTTGAGGAAGACGGTGGATGGGAGATTGAGCTAAGCGATGCTTCTTGGCGAAATGATTGAATAAGGCTTGCTAGCTGTCTTTGCTCGAGGATGTTGTCGGACGACGAAAGGATGAAGGTCGGAGGTGAAGATGGCAAACGACGTCGTCGGGGAGAAGAGGAGGTCGAGGGAATTTTGAGGCAGCACAAGGTCTAGCCAAGACATCAGCTCCCCCGCGCCTGCGCGTTCTTTTCGGGTGCCATTCTTGGCTGGAAGGTGGCCGCCTTCCGCATTCTGCAGACTGTTCCTGCCTGTGATGCCTCAACCAGCTTGGCGCGATTCACGTCCAATTGCTCTTTCCGGCGTCCAGGGACCAAAAATGTGCTGAATGACGTGGACGCAGGCGGTCCTGCGGGGGGGACCTGCCGCGCTTTTTAAGCTTGTCCTACGGCGCAGTGGCCTGATCCCAAGAGCTACCCCGCCATGCCTCTCCTTCTGGAGCTCTGGGCAGCTCTCTAACCGAAACGGGCGCTGGGCTGCGCCTGTCACCATGGGCTGGCAGCAGCCACGCCCTGGATTTTCAGGGGAAGCCCCGGTAAAATGACATCGTCACATCTGACTCGAGTGGGAACGCTGCAGAATGCCACAGATGTACCAAATGACAAGATCAAGTCCTGGTGACGGTTCGATTTCATGGTCTCTTACTAATTCCTCATAAGTCATTCAAACGCAAGGCACTCCAAACTCCCATGTGGTATAGTCCTGTTGTCCCCGCTATCCACCGCCATTCATTACTCCAGTCATGAACCCATATCGACTGAGACTATTATCTACAGCTGGTGCACATCTCATCAAAAAGCCGTTATCGGTTGCTACTGTCGGCTTGTTGGCGCCAGATGTGCGTATCACCCAGACTCATCGAACTATCCGACGCAGCCGAGGCCGTGTTCGCCGGAGCATTGGGCCTCTCCGTGTCCACTGCACTCTCGCTCTCGTCTCCCGAATCGTCGGCCGGAGGCGGATCCTGATAGATCCACGGTCGATCAAGACTATGACACGTTAGAGCGAGTCAGGAATGGGGTCGCGGGTACATACCGTGAGGTCAAGCTGGGGTTAATGAACTTCATTCCCTTCTCCTTGTCCTCATCAATCGTGCTTCCTCTTCTAAGCAGGCCCTGCGAAGGTCGCGGTCCTTCAAAGTCCTCGTCAAGAATGGCAGAGTCCTCAGCGTCGATCTCTGCCCGAATGCTTCGGAGCGAGATGAAGCGGGTTAGGGGCTCGAATCGGCGTCGGAAGTAGAAGCTGTACCAAATCGTGAAGATGACCAGAGGCAAGACCAACACCGACTGGGCAAAACCTGTCTGCAGCGCCATGACACTGGACAGAATGATCTCCGCCACGACCAGGCCAAGCACGATACGGTACGAGATCGTCCTCCATGCCGCACCCGTCGCATGCTGCGGCTGGTCCATGGCGTACAGAAGTTGATACTTGTACGTGAAGTACCCAAACGTAAAGTAAATCATTCCCATCGGCAAGATGAGAGCGCCAAACGGCAACGTGCTGTAGATTTGGCACAGCATAAACACAAGCAGCGCCGTCGGGAGATAGAAGCCGTAGCTGAACACTGGCGGCTGCATAATCTCGGCAAAGTCTCTCGGAGTCTTTGCTCCCATGCGGTAGATCGGGTAGAGAAAGACACTGCCCACCTCCAGGAGTCTGAAGGGAAACAGGCCAAGGCCTTGAAGCATAATGAAGTTGGCGTAGAACAGACCCAGGGCCTCGATCCGGGACCCAATCAACCGTGCCAGCTTCGTCGTGTTGCCCCAAGAATCCTGAAAGTCCTGGAAAATCTTAAAGACACTGAGCGCAGTTCCTGAGACGGCGAAGACAAGGAAGACGTTGACGAACGTGAAGAAGAAGTTCTTCGAAATGATGGACAACTCGACGTCGCCCTTGGAGATCATGCCTTGCTGGTACGACAGGTAATCGTACAGGTAGGGCACGGCCACGTTGAGCAACGAGACGAGCACTGTCGTCAAGGATGTCTCAATCAACTCCTTGATGGTCGGGAATTTCTTCAAAAAGTCGACCACAGAAGGGAACCATTGCTGAAAGTTGCAGACGCTCAAAAGACCCGCAATAGCAGCCAGCACGGCGATCCACAGGATAGACAGCGCGGCCACGAAGATGGTAACGGTCCACGATCGCAGCCTTCGTACACCTCGAGGTGCGTATGTGTTGGCCCACATGATGTCTGAAGGCGCTGGCGCGGGTTTCGTCAGGAACTGTCCGGGGCGGGGATCGATGCGGGCTTGGATCGCCATCTGGCAGGCCGCAATACTGTCCATCGTAACGAACGCTTGATCGCTCGGCGCGTATTCCTTCTGCCTGGCCTCGTAGATCTTCTCGTCGAGCCGTCTGAGCTTCTCCTCGTAGTAGTCGATGGCGTCCGTCTGGCGGCTCTGGAGCTTGAGAAAGCCGTACCACAGGCGAATCTTTGGGCGTTCCCGCTCCACACACTCTGGGTGGATTTCGCCATGCCCCAATAGCCGTCCATTTTCACCGGCCTCCTCGTCAATCTCATCCTGACGTGGCTCCAGAACAGAAGGCTCTGCCTCTGGGTCACGCAGACGTTGTACGGATTTGGGCAGAGCAGCCTGCTTTCCAAGAAAGACGCTCCAAGATTCCTCCAGTTTCGCCAGAATTTGTGCTCGTTGCTCGGTCAAAGAATCAATCTCCCTCCAGTCGCGAACCAGGTTAACACTCTCAACACGACCGATTTGGAGCTTCTCAATCAGGTGCTTGATCTTGTCCTCGGATCGCATGTTCTGGGGAATTCCTGACAGACGGAATGTCCTGTCTGTGACGGTTGACTGGGTTCCGAGGTACTCTTGGCGGATGTGGATAACACGGAATGTCTCCTTGTTCAGGATGTACAGCGTTAGCCCTGAAAAGACATAAACGAATACCAGCCATGCCCAGAGATAGCTTCTGTCTGGATCGTCCTTAGAGTCCTTGCCACCTTTGTCGTAAGTGCTCGCGTCGCCGTAGGTAGCCATCCAGTCGAACATGGCGACACTGGTGCTGTTGAGCTTGTAATCTCCTGGTCTGTAGTGGAGGTTGATCGGCAGCAGGACGACGAGGGCGAGGAATGTCATGATAGCCAGGATGCGAATGGCCATCCTGAAGAAAGACAGGAACTACCATTGTCAGCTTAGTTGAATGTGTTCCTCTCAAGTAGCTGGTCCACCTACAACGAATGCATCAAGCCCCGCGGAGGCGAGAACCTGCTCCTCCGTCACACGATACAGGCCGGGAATCCATCCGAGCAAGGTATTCGGAAGCGTGGGCAAGCCAATCTTGGGGTCGAGTCGGCGCTTGCGCGCGGCGTAGAGAGTCGGCCATCGCGGACGAAGAATGCAGAATGCGACGAAAGCCGAGACGCCGAGGATGAGAGAGAGGGCTAACTGGACAATGATGGCACGGCTGCTCGGCTGGAGGGCCTCTGTGGCATCCTTCCCGCCGCACTTGTCTGTCGAGTTTACTATCAGCGCGTCCATCTCGCGTGCATAGTGAGGGTTCGGTCAAGGTGGTTAATATTCTGTCAGTGTTGGCGGTGTAGATGCACCTGTCGAATCGCCAAGCGGTCGTCGGTGGAATCTGGTGATGCAGGTGGTTGGTTGAAACCGAAGCTGGAGCTTTAGGCACGCGAAGGAAGGTCTCCACTTCATCTGAACCTGTGACGTGATGATGCAGCCCGAGATGAAGTAGCTGATTACGTAATTTTCATCAACGGCCACACCGCCGCCACAGCAAGCACGTGAAGACCACGACACTCGCCTCCTCCATTGGTGCAAGCTCCAGCACTCGGGCCACCAACGCTGCGAAGCTCTAAATCGAGATGCTGCGGTTCGGGTGAGCGACATTGTGCTCATAGCGCGCTGCTTCCGATGCCCTAAATCCTCGAAGGCCAGTATGACCTGTGAAAAGAAGCTCACAGACATTATGGGATGCCATGAAAATCAGTATGGTCAGAGTTGTACCTTGAAAATCCGGCGGTTGCTTGTCCGGGGTGTCCGAAGCCACGGCGACGTCTCGTTGAAGCCATCGCCAGGGCAGGCACATGCCGTCAGACGCAGAGCTGCATTGGACCGCAGACACCATACCTTATCTAGCATGGCTTTTCTCACCCAAGCCCGGCTGGCGAACACGCGAGGAAGCCGAGCCCAGCCCTCTGGCAGGCTGCAGCAAAATCACTAGCTCTAGTCGACGGTCGGACCTCCTGCTGAGGTCGGTATTAGTCGCCTACACCGAAGATCTCACCGTGAAGCAGCACTGCCTCTGCAAAGACTCGTGCCCAGGGCAGTCGTCGAAAACGAACCTGCATCTTAGGAATTTGGGAATCTGGGAATTTGGAAGCACAGGACGAACAAGACGGGACGGCCAACTGCTTCGGCCCAAGAGTTGGGAGGTTTCAGTGCTCTGATGCCACAGAGCCGTTCAGAAGCCGACGCACTGACGCGGAATGTTTTCGCGGTCCCCTGCGGCGCATGGCTTCCCCCGAGCATTGTCGTCGTCCTCGTCCTGTCCGTTTGGCTTGCGAGAGGCTGGTTCGATTCAGAGCTGGCTTGACGTTGGAAGGACGGCCTGCAGCAGACAAAGACGGGGCATTCTACCGTCACCAGCCACTTGGCGCATTCAGGCCCTCTCCTTGCAGCCGTTTGCGGGCCAGGCCTCACATCGACGTCACGCCCAGTGACGAGAACGATAGAGGTTGTTGTCAATTGATTGATTGTCAACAGCAGGATGCAGGATGCAGGATGCAGATGCACGATTTGAACGTCGCCGATGCCCGGGAATAAGGCCATGAGTCCCACTGCAGAGCGAACAATAGCGAAGTGCAGGCAGCAGGCCGAATTAAACATGGCGATAGCGATGAGACCGAGACGAAACAGCGTTGCAGGCCGCCCGAGTGCCAAGCTACGGCCCGGGACGGGTATTGACTTAGAGGTACCCGGCCGTAGAGAAGGATGGCGGTCATCTCGTCGGCCAACCTCTTGCTTTCATGCGGCTTCCATCTCGGTCGATGAAATGAATGTCGACTGCAGCAGCTTTGGGTGAGAGAGGCGCAAAGAGATCTGGTCTGCAGCCAAAAGTTGAGCAGAGTTCATCTCCATTACCTTGGCCGGGGAAAGAAGTCTTTGTTATCGACGGGTCTGGATTGGCTGCAGGGCGCACCTGCCGTTGGCTGGCTGCGGAAACTTCCAATCGCAAGCCGCAAACTGCATATCTGCGAGGTGGAAAGGGAGATGCTCCGGCCTATTTTTTCACTGGCCCCTCCCCCGCCGTTCCCCGGGTCGTCCCTGCCCCTCCACTGCCTTCCCAGCGCTCTCCTTCCCTGCCGCTGCACCACCACCACCACCACCACCACCCTCTTCCTGCCTTTTCAATTCCATTCCATAATTACCGGCGGTCTGGATTCAGGATCTGCCAATCGTACCTGCCTATCTGCGTGCATGCCTGCGCAGGTTTTTCACTGTTGCTGCCCCCCTGCACCTACCCTGCGCTACGGCTTTTGTCGGCCCACAACTCGACGACGTCGACCCCTCCAAAAACTCCCCGGTTCACATCTCTCCAACGACCTCGAAAATTTCGGCTTTTTCTAATCAGCTCCATCGCGGCCCCTCAATGCCCCTCACTGCCCCTCGCATTTGCTACAGTTGTTGCTTAATCACGATACTTCCGGGCGCTATTCAATCGCATCAATACGCGGCATACGAGCAACATGGCCGACGCTCAAGTGACTTGCAGCCGGGCCGACGACTTCGTCATTGTCTCCAGGCCTAAGGGAACCGCTTTTGTCGAGGCCCGACTTAACGATGGCGTGAGTTCACCTGCTACTGAATGTCGCAACCTAGCCATCCACCTGTGAATAATGCCACTCACACTCTCTAATTGACAGTACAACTACACCGAAAAGGGCTGGCAACAGATTCTTGCACACCTGGAACGCGAATTGAGCCCCGATAAGCTCAACGACGATGCCGTCATCTCCCTTGAAACAGATTTGAGGGACACCACTCGTGAGTAGAAGTCGCCAATGCCTCCCAAATCATACTGACCCATTGTCAGTCTACAAGCACGTGCCTCCGGGCATATTCCAGTCCTTGCGAGTCGTCGACATCCAAGGACTCGACCCATCAACACGCAAAGTCTCGGCTCGGGATGTTGCCATCAAATTCAACCCCTACAAATTCAGCTCCGAGGCATTCAACCGCAACAAGGCCAGCGTCCTTCCAGTCGCCGCGATTGATGGTCTCTGGGAACTGTACGGCACCCCTTCCTACTCCCCAGGATATCATTATTAACTCCATCCCATTCGTAGCTGCTGATTGTGACCATTGCATAGCGGGTCCACCGTTGACACACGATCGCGGGTGACTCGATGGGTAATGACCACCGGCGCGTCTCGTCTTGAGCATGATGCCTCAATGCCGTTTCCCTCGAAGCTTGGAAACTCTATCCTTTTTGTCCTTGGCCTCAAAGAACCTGGCAACTCGAATATGGCCCTTATGTTAGCACAGAAGATCTCCATGCACCTCTAGAGCCGGTATGCTCAGATCCTTCTGCATTTTGCCGCGCCAGGCCTCGATTTCAAGGACATCACAACGAAGGCTATCAAATCGCCGTCAACCATGCACATAGTCCTGGTAAGCAACATTAGCAACTACCACTGGACTTGGTCAGAACATGAATTCGGCCCAGAAATTCAAACAACCACCTGCCCTGTTGGTTTCGACACCCTTGAAGCATTGCCAAACGTCTTGGCTATCTGCACATCGAGCACAAGCAACTTGCCGAACCAAAATCCCTTCAGCCGCATTACCATGACATTCAGAGTGGCATCTCTGTCGTCGCCTCCGATGTGGATGCCTCAACGTTTTGAGATCTTGCGCAGCCTGTTCCAAGCATACGTGGACGCCGGTGTCATCACCTGCAATGACAAGCTTGACGACTACCGCGATGCCACTAACGGCAGCAAGACTGAGGATACTCCAGGCCTCCAAATTCTTGAACTTGCAAGGCACATCGAGAACGACGTCTCTGCTCGACTCTTGAGACAGATAGTCATCCGGGCTCTGACAACCGACCTCAAGGATGAAGGATGTGACATAGCCACTGCTGTGAGTGCCGTCCGGAAGTGTCACGAACTTTTTGTTGCACAAAGAACAACCATTGCCAATCAAGGTAAGTTGCTTTCCGGGTGTGCATTGTGGATATGTCAAGTTGACTAACATATATGGGCAGGCTCGATCGGGGACAAATCTCAGACGGCCGCAGGAACCTCTGCCGGAGTCGAGCGAGCAGGGATGGAGACCAAGGAAGAGCCAAAGACTTCTCCATGTGAACGGGGAGCCTCCCCCGATTGGATTCTGGATGACTTCGACGACTTGGGCGAGGCCTGCGACGCGATTCTGGATGACTTTGTCGACTTGGGCGAGGAGTTATCGGTTGCTGCAAGTCGACAGTGACAGCCAGTGCTGAGTGGAGGTTATTTCCGTTCCTCGGCGAGCGGTCTCTCCGATCTGGATGGTCGCAAACTTGGCGTCAGGCTGCCATGAGTCCAGAAATATTGCATAGTTATGCCAGGTGACTGGCATGGGGTCTATTGGTGTGTACCGAAGGCCGGTACGCCATGATGACAGGTGTCTAAAGAGCATCGGATTGCTTCACCGCAAGGGCACGTAATTACAGTAGAGCCTTAATGAAATCAGAATGATATCACAAATGTTCTCCTGATGAAACGAGGGAAAAGTACTCTTCACAGGGACATCTTCACTATTGCGCCTCTCATAATGCGGCCAATTACGATGAGTCGGTCGGTCGCACACGCTACTTGAGATTTGAATCTGGGTCCCCACGTCACCAACAAGATGTCCAATCATGTTCTTCGCCCTGATGGTCTAGCGGTATGATTCTCCCTTAGGGCTTAGCAACCCACGTCTGGGAGAGGTCCCAGGTTCGATCCCTGGTTAGGGCCCATTCCTTTTGCTTTTCGACTCAATTGAACCTCTTTTCATGAGAACATGCTGTGTGCGTCCGCTGCTGTTCGTGGCCCTCTCAGTAAATGATGAGATTATGTGCTGTTGCCTAGCATTTTCAGAAATGCATGTTGAATGCATTTGCTCAGGTTTTGATGTTGCCGTATCTCGCCTTGTTTTGCTTACTAGCGGGCATGTTCAGCACCTAGCGGTTGCAGGTCCCTCAATCCCGGCTAACGTGTCCTCATACGACAAATTATCCAGTCTCTTTTCTATCTTCTCTGTCGAGCATCATCAGCCTATTGGAAGAGAAGCTGTAGAAACCGGATGATCTGAGGGTCTACTCCGCATGATATGCTGCTCATTGACATGCGGCCAAGATGCTTTGCCAGCCTGATTGTCTTTGCTATTGATGAGTCAGATGGCCGCATCTCACAGATGATGAACGAGTTTCACACATATCACATCGACAGACAGAACTTTTCGCCCAAAACAACTACCTGTGTCCTCACGCATTTTTTCCCTTTTCACTTCTCTGGACAGAGTTCAAGCCGCCGAAGGAGGTGCCTGCTGCACAAGCTTCTCAAGAGCACGCATGGGATGTCATTCGAAAGGCGTTGCGCAAAGGGAACAATCAACCCTGAGCGGATCAACCCGCGGATAGAAGGGCGCGAAGGTAGTAGAGTGTGTTTTTTTTTTCTCAGGGCTATGAGGGTGGCAATGTCGTCACTTGAGCATATGAACGATGTTGGATTTCGCGAGCCCGCTGCATTGGGGTGTCGTTGGAGATCGAGATTGTACCGGGGTCACATAAGGAGTTGCGAACCGCTTTGAAATTTGAAAATTCTTTCTTTTCAGACTGAAAGGCTTGCCGAAACTAGTCTTGTATTTCTTCTCCGAAAGTGGTTATTTGCAATCCCCACTGGGTACGTTGCTGGTGATGTTCGGCGGTATATCGATAGAGCATTCTCCCAGGTCGTTGCAAGTTCCTTTGCTGTCAAAGCCATCGATTTGAGCGGTACAAGGCTTTCCTGCCTTGCTCGCTTTACATCACACAAGAGTCAGCTAGGCTTCGTTTTACAGGCAAATCCAGAGCTGTTGAGCTTACCTCCAGATACTGGCCCAGCCAGAACATTACCAGCGAGCATGAAGAAGAGTAACGGTTTGATCCCCAAGAGTTGCATCGTGACTAGAAGGGGTGAAGGCACTAATTTGATCGATATGATTGGGGAGTGAAAAGTATTCAAATAAAGCTGGGTGATTGTGAGTGTCAAATTGCTGTGCTAGTGGCAAGTCGTTGCTGTTTATATACCAGCTCTGGCTGCTAGGTGGACTCGAGAGGGTTCCTAACCACTCCTGTGTGACTTGTTCTTTGACGACAAATCCCCCACAAGCTTCGACGAGTTGAGAAAGATATTGAAACAGTCCTCTTAGACGTGTTCCTCGGGAAGTCGGTGAGGTCCGAGTCTCGAGTAGTTAGTGTGACATGATGAGCCAATCAGCCAGACAACTCTTGGAGTTCAGATGACAGCTGTCAATCAAATTCGACAGTCGACGAATCTTTCGATCTTGCATCTCTGGGCCGATCTGAGCTTAGCTATTGCAGCACTAAATGACATAGAAGCAACGATGCACCTCATGGAGACAAGTTCTGAACGTTCCCTAGTAAATGATTTTTACGTTGTCGAGCCTCATACCCGTTGGTTGGCTTCATGAGTATGCACCTTGAAGCATGGATACTATTGGCCAATATGCGCAAATGTACTCACGAGGCATGATTCACAAACGATATTTCTGGTATCTCTGCTTGCTGATGTGCATGAAAGCTGGCCAGTCACCAAAGAGTCTCATGTTCGCCAAGAAGTGATATTGCTGACAGTGGTCTGACTACTGCACCCTCACCCCAAGGGCTAATCCCTGCAACTACATCGTGGTCAAAACTGAGCCTTATCCCCGGGCTCGTTTGATCAACGTTCCATCTTCAATATACTCGCCTCTAAAAGTACGTTCAGAACATAACAAAGGTCTGAAGCCTCCAGTATCTCATTCGCACACGACTTTCTTTCAGGTAATTTCCTTCTTGGGGCATCCGAGACATCACGGCCGAAAGTTCCTTAACTGAGCTTCCAACATTGCCAACGTCTTCCGAACGAGACATGGAAACCAGCGACCGTGAAACTACTGTCGATTCCTTCGTCAGTAGCATAGAACATGTGAACTCTTCATCTTTCAGCAACGAGGGCGATCGGATGAAAGCTCTCTTGGCAGCACAGGCTCTGCTGGTCCGACTCGAGTCGCCGTGGGACACGGCTGTGAGACTCAACATGACTCAAGTAGGCGCTTCGATTCCAGACCAAGTTTTGTGATATACACGCCTAACGACTGCTTATCTCACAGCCGGCTCTTGGTGCTGCTATAAGGACGGTGAAGGATTTGGAATTATTCGAGAGGTGGAACGAGCACGGAAACGGACCACTTACAAGCGCGCAAGCGGCGGAGATTATCGGAGGCAAATGCGATCCTGCGTTGCTTTGTGAGTTCGAATCTGCATGAACTTCTTTTGCCGCGCTCACTGGCATAATTAGACCGACTTCTCCGTCTTCTGGCAGCAAACCATCTCTTAGAAGAACCATCGCTTGGCACATTCAAGCCCACGCAGTTTGGCGTCGCTATCACAGCACCTGTGTTCAATGGGCTCTTCAGTAGCTAGTATGTTCGAAGAACGCCGTATGCGTGATAGGCTTTAGACTTACCATACCCTCAGCTACAATCTCATCCTGCCAATCTACGCAAAATTGCCAAAGTTCTTCGAAGCAACCGGGTACAAGAACCCCGAAGACTCTAGACACTCAGGATTTCAATACGCCCATGGGTGGGATGGAGACCTCTGGTCATACTACCAAGCTCATCCCAAGGAGGAGGAAGAGTTCAGCATCATACAACAAAGCATTGCGGCACAGCAGCCCGCGTGGATCGATGTCTTCCCCGCAGAATCGCTTCTCGAGACAAACCCTGACACACCATTGCTAGTTGACATCGGGGGTAGCACCGGCCATGACGTTCTGAAGTTCCACGCCCTTTACCCCGAGACAGCTTCCCGGCTGTACTTGGAGGACTTGGAGTCCGTGATAGAAAAGGCGGAACTTCCGTCTGGCGTGAACAAGGTGGCTTACGATTTCTTTAAGCCGCAGCCCATCAAAGGTTTGTCTCGTTATTGATTTGGTAGGTATACCTAGGTTAACCGGCTGTTAGGTGCACGAGCATACTTAATGCACTCCATACTTCATGATTGGTCTGATGAACCGGCTCGGAAGATACTTGAGATGCAAAAGGATGCGATGACTCCAGGATACAGCCGGTTACTCATACACGACCACATAGACGTTGAAGGCCCTGCGAACCCTCGGGCTACCGCTTTCGACATTCAAATGATGGTTATGGTATCAGGAAGGGAGAGATCCGAGAAGGATTGGCGGCAGCTTCTTACATCTGTTGGTCTCAGTGTGGTGAAAATTTGGAAATTACCTTCGGCAGCTCACAGCATCATTGAGGTTGAGGTATTACCGGTTTAGGCAAGTACGCCCCAAGACAGGCAATTAAATGGTGCAAAAGGCGTCAAGGAGGCTTCGAAACTCGATAGGGACAGTTTTTCTAAATGGAACCTAATATTACAAAACGCATCGTTCAAGTAAGTCGAAAAGCATTCCGTACCCCATCTGCCGAACTCAGATGTCGCTCAAGCCGCGAGTCTGGGTACGAGCACTCTCTACAATTCCATCGGCAGTTCGAAGCTTCTCAATTACCTCGTCGAGATCATGTCGCTGTTGGACGATGTGTTCATCCTCCCGAGCCAGCTTCTCAACCTCTTCTTCCGTCAATGTGAACATCCATTTTGTTGAAAGACCCCTAAGAGGTCCTGTCTCGTGAGATATGAAGCTCTCAGTAATGTTACTAGTAACATGCTCAATGAAGTTACCCAGCGATATCTATCAAACGAGAGTCAGTTGATACCTATGTGATCGGGGATGGAGGCATACCTCGTAATACACCTTGACAACATCATGGACGTCATTGACCATGTTTTCTTCCGCAGAATGGTGGAAAAGGTGAAATATGGCAGCCCAATGATCCTCGGCGGAATGATACCCTTGTGTGGGTGGATATGAAACGATAGCCTTCATCAGCCGAAGACTGCGGAAAGCCTGGAGTTTCTGCTGGAACCTCACATCCGTGGTCTGCAGATGGGACTCTCTCTCGCGCCGGCAGTGCTCTCTCAACTCTGCAAGAGCCCTTTCTTTCGTTTGTCGCTGAAATTGAGCAATGACCGCCGAGAGCTCTTTCTGAATGATTTCACAGCCACTGCTTGAGCAGACCTGCCGAAGGATTTTGTCGGCTGCGTGCTCGACATACCTGCCGACCTCATTGATATGCTCCTCTGCAATGCGCTCCCACAATTCTGATTGTTTCATGAATAAGACCCGGATAACCTCAGTGTTGATGAGACCAGGAAGCTCAGTTGTCTGCCAGATTTTGAGCTGAGATTGGATTTCTTTCGCAAAGGACGCTGCTGTTTCATCTTTCACGCCTTTCGCTTGTCCCACACGCCCTTTTCTTGGAGGTGTAGTGGGAGGAGTAACCGTGGGATCTGATTGCTGAGGTGGAACGGGTGGATAGTTGGTTGACATTTTGTTGGCAAGCTCCTTTATAGGATCGATGTCAGGGTCCTCGAAGTCGAAGGTGTGGCCTCCCTCTTTCATTGCCTGGGTGAAGCTCTCGTTGGCGCTGCGAGTCAAGGCTCTCACTCTCACGGTCTCATCGTCGAGGAACCCGGGAAAGTAGAGTGCCCTGTTTGTGATCTTGCAATACTTTTGAAGAATGTCTCTCAGGTATTGTTGGCGAAGATTGTGTGTTGGCCTCGGGTCTCCAAGGCTCTTCCTGGAGACCTCGGCTGTCGAAAGCAGCCTTGATATCGTATCTCGAATGGTAGGAAAGTTGTCTCGAATGCGAGCGCAAAGGAGGTTCCCGAGGTGTCTCTTCAGCATTTGAGAGCCGCGACGACTTGGGTTTATTTTGTTCCAAGGAGGCTGGTCAAATAGTTGACTCTCAGCTTCTTGGAGATTGAAGTTGTCGCCATCCTTCGCCGATCGATTTCTCACAACAAACCAGCCATCCTGCATGGACTTGTCGGCGTATTCGCCAGTACCATTGGCGATATCGACAATCTGACAAGCCGTTAATAAAAGAGCTCGATTCTGTGGGTTTGTGAAGATCTTTACCTCGCTTGCATCGTGCAGCATATCGCACTTTGTGAAAACCCCGACGAGTCGTTTTTTCTCTACCACAGCAGTCTTCATGAAGATCTCTTGGCGTGCTAGATCTGTTACCGCGTCGGCCACGCAGCTTCCAAACAGTTACTAGAGGGTCTCATACGACGGGGGAATGGAACTTACATAACAATGTTGGCAGGCTGTTTCATGTAATCGTCAATCATCTTGTTCACTGCCTTCATCTCGTACTCGTTCACGGCGACGGCATTTGATATAAGTCCGGGCACATCGAGAATACTGAAATGAGATCGGGAAGGCCCTGAAAGCTCGATGCGAAGAACCTGAGTGGCAAAGTTCTTCTTTCCTTTGCCTTTTCCGCGTCGAATGCCCATGTATTGGGTCGAGATCTGGAACAAAATTAGCTTCGCCAAATATCTTGTTCTCGAGTACAGCGATACTTACCTCATCCATGACCCTTTTGAAGTCATCGACTCCGAGACGATCAGTCGTGTAGACATAGTCCCTGTAGGAGTGGTCTTCAGGATATCCAAAACGATCAGGGACCTCGGGCTCGGCAATGGTGATCCTGACCGTGCTGACGGTATCGGGAGCCGTCCTGCGGGAGACGATCCTTGTTGCAAAGCGAGTACAGCACCCCGTGCCCACTGGGAAGGGTATATCTGTCAGACTCTGAAGTAGTGACGACTTCCCTGCCGATTGACCGCCAGCAATGATAAGCTATGATAGCCGTGATCAGTGATGCTTGAACCTAGACGATTGGACGATGGGCGATGGAATACCTGAGGAATCGCAAGTTCCTGGCTGACTCCGCATGACTGCAGTCTGTCTATAGCATCAAACAGAATTTTGCTGTCCTTGCTGTCAAAAGGGTTCTCGGATATGGCCTTATCCTGAATTTCTTGACTCTGATGATCTTCAAGACCAGGAGCGGATGCCACTGAGTCGAAGTGTTCATCTACGGCAGATTCGGCATCGGACCTGTCGCTAGGGGCATCCCAAAAGCCTTTCGACGTAGGCGACTCCAGTCCTATGCCCCCGTGGTCTGACTGAAAGAGCCCGGGAGACGGAATTGCCACTTCGGCCATATTGTGAAAAAGAAATCGAATGAAATTGGAAAGGAAGTATGACTAGAAAACGAAGATTGGAAATCAATTCCAAAAAGGTTCAATGAATGGGAGACTTGATATGAATGAGAAACACTGACATTTTTTGAGTGGTATAATTTCGTGTGTAGCAGGAAACATCATTTATAAGAGTAGCTATCGGGTCCATATGAAGCAGCCAGAGAGGAGGGCGACAGAGTCAAACCAAAATCATAAGCGCCTTTAGTCGCTCGTCAAGAACACTAGCGACAAGCGTGCAGTTTGAACACATTCACATACGAAGTCAAATCTGCCTTGCCAACCAACGTAGATGCACATGTCGTCCGACTTCTCCTTTCTTGCTGAATCGCGTCATGAACTTCTGGATCTGAGATGCGTGGGCTTGAAACCAGACAGAAGAGCGCTATTGGTTGCTGCAACACACCATACAAGGCACCCACGCCAATTGAGGTTCAGTTGGTTGTATGCAGGAGTTCCCCAATGTGGTCCAGTTGCGGCTGTTGGTAGCAGATTTGGCCAGGGACCTGGCCCAAATCCATGTGCGGATGCGATTTGCCCGCACGCTTATCAGTTCAATCGGACCCGAGGGAATGGTCGCGAAACGGGCTGAGCCTTCTTGGCCTCGGCCACGCCGACTCGCATGCACTCAATAAACAACGACCTTTAACGCCAGTAACGGGCCCGGCCGCAGATGGCAGGTCGCTCCACGGAGGCCATGTCCAGTCATGGCACGTCGACCGATGGTGGACAGGGGCGAACCGAAACCTGGACAGTCGTAGGCAACCAACAGCCTCCTGATGGTCGTCCCTGATGCGTCCTCTCCAACGAACAAACTTTAGTCCAATGAAGTGATATCAATAGTATAACGACATCTCAAAAAGCAATACCCGGCATACGATGAGTCCGATACACCCGTCATAACTGGAAATAGTGACCCTGCATCCATGCACAAACAGGGGCTGTACCAAGGCGCAAGGAGTAGTTGCAGTAGCTGTAAGTGACCTACGACTCTAAACATGAATACGAGCAAGCCTCCTTGAACCAGCCCCAAGATCACAATGGTCACATCCAGGAGCGCCAGCGGCTCAGATGTTTCACGCCTTCTCCTCGTGCCGCGCCGTGACGATCACGCCAGCTTTCTCCCCATCCTCCGTAGACGCCTGGTACATGTCCTCCGGCTTGTACTTGCCAAACTTGCGCAGCGGGACGCCCTCGTTGAACATCCGGTCAATCTGCTCGAGTGACTTGCCCTTACACTCCGGGATGCAGAACCATGTAAAGACAAACGCAAGGACCAGGATGCCTGCAAAGATGAATCCCACCTTGGAGCCTAGTCCGGCGCCTGGAGTGTACAGTAGGTGGGGAATGCTGAAGTTGACGAGGAAGTTGGCCAAGACGTTGACCATCGAGGCTGTTCGCTGGGAGGCGTCGCGGAGGCGCAGGGCAGGGATCTCGGTTGACACGACATAGTTGAGGGGTGCCCATGCCAAGACATAGGACGCCGCGAAGACGGTCAGCATCGCCACAATGCCTGTCTTGACGGCAAATGATGGATCCGAAACTGTGCCGAGGGAGCCCATGGTCACGATGGCTGCAAACTGCAAGACAGCACCGACCAGAAGGAGAGGCCTGTAATCATGCTCGTCAACGTTGTCCACCAAGATTTCAAGGAGGAGAGGGATAACACATACCGTCTTCCTACGCGATCAGTCAGGTAGAGACCAATGAACACCATGACCAGGTTGACAATTGCGTTGACAATGGTCATGGTGAAAGGATTTACGGTTCCGATATCCTTGATGAAGATTGCTCCGTACGTCGATGCAAACGCCTGACCGGTAGCTTGTTGGAAGAAGTTCATAACCATGACCACGGCAGTCCTCTTCAAGTTGACGCCTTTGAACAACTCCCAATATTTCCCCTGTTCAACCTCCTGTTTCAGAGCGTACTGTAAGGCGGCAAACTGTTCGTCGATTTCGGCGTCCGTGATCGTACCGACTCGGAGCTTTTTGAGCGATGCGTGAGCTTCTTCAACTCTGTCCTGGGTCAAGAGCCATCGCGGTGACTTTTCCGAAAGGTTAGTCTTTATACACCCTAGAGTTGAAGATCTGGGAATTACCTCAGGGATGAAAAAGATGAGGCACATCACTATGACTGGAATGACGTAGAAGAGTCCCATCGGGATCCTCCAAGACGCGTTCCCCTCCAGTGTGCTGGTGCCTCTGCAGACAGAGTTGACGATCAGAGTCCCGAACTAATGATATCAGTTAGTCCGAGTAAATTTTCGCTGACAGCGGCTATCTCTCACCATAAGACTAAACTGGTAGGACCCAACAGCGAATCCTCGAATCTCGGATGGCACGATTTCTGATTGGTAAACTGGCACCACCGCCAACTCCATCCCAACGTAGATGTCTTGGAGATATTAGAACCACCCTTGGCAAAGGATTGAGCGTCGGCCTTACAGTTGAGAATGCGCGCGGCCATAATTTGCTCTCTAGTGGATGAAGTCAAAGCGATCGTTGCCGGAATAACTGCCCAGGCGCTCATGCCGAACATGCACCAGCGACGACCCCAACGGGCACTGACGAGACTGCCGATGATGACGCCAGCGGCGAACCCAATGTAGTTGAGACTGTTGAATAATGATAACCAAGTCGGAGGAATCTTCCACTTTCCAGTTGTCGGATCCTGATCGCCAAATTGCTTCTGGAAGGCGTCCATCGCCTGTGTCGTAGAGTAGCCCGCATTGTCGAAGCCATAGTTGAAAGTCGAGATGGCAACTACAGTGAACGCGACCGCGAGAGTCCGGTTGAAGTGTTTGAGAATCCTGTTTGGAGCCATGGTGAAGAAACTCTGTGGCCAGGTTGAGGGGATCCACGCCGCGGCTGACAGGGTACACTTGGGAAAGGAGATGATGCATCGCGGATCTTTAAGTATTTGAACGCGTTCGCGGCGTTGATCCTGTGCCTTGTTGGTTGGTATTAAGCTAGGCCTCTCTTCCTTGCAAGGTGGGGTTGAATTCAAGGATCCAGAGGTTTGGCCTCCACTAGCAAACAATAAAACTCGTTCGACCTGCGGACTGATGGCAAACCAACACATGGCATGGCGGAGACGGGAGGTTTCCCCAACTTGGGGAAACCCACTGGGGAAGAAGCCGTTCAAGGCGCTAGGCACTCGGGAGATATTTCCTGGAGGAAAATTGTGGAGGAGCTGAGCCCAGAACGAAAATCTTCTGGCGGACGACCGGCCGGCTGGGTTTTTGGCGTTGGACTAGGGAAGCTCCGGGGCCCGGAACTCGGGGGGAGGCAAAGCAGCAAACAACATCACGGAACTCGGGCGGAACAGAGCGCGAACTCATTTCCCCCCCGACTTCCCAACCCCATCACCCGATCTCATGCATCTTTCACATACATGTTTGGCAGAAGCCGCGGGTAAGAAAAGCATGGAGGCGGCTGCTCCATATCGAGCGTCTGGGCGACCCCGAAAGGGCCTCCAGATTTGTTTCCAGTGCCGGAACCGAAAGGTAAGTTTTTTTTTTTTTCGGCCTCGGATCGGAGGTGCTCCGCTTCGGAAGAAGGTCACCGTTCCTAACCCGCATCCGATCAGGTTCGATGTGACGGCTCACCTGGGGGATGCGAAAACTGTCACAGACTCAAATTTCACTGCTCTTTCTCAGTCCCTGATGCATCTTTTGAAGATGAAGGGCCAGCTGGCCAGGCAGACCCGAGCCACTTGAGGCTGGAGAAGAGGCGCGTCCGCAGAGCATGCATCCAATGTCGGGATAAGAAAACAAAATGCTGTGGGACACAGCCATCCTGCAGGAGGTGCTCCCAAAGAGGCGCTCCTTGTCAATACCCAGATCGGGTTGCCAAGTCCACATCGCCGAAATCCCACCGGCAGCCAGCTACAACACCGGCTGAAGAGTCTTTTAATGATGGCAATACACGTAGAGCGTCTTCATCAGCACGAGGTACCTCGATCGCGCCGTCGCAAGCACCGTCCCCCGGCTTGTACGTAAAAACCCTCCAGAGAAGCCTGGCGTACGCTGACATTCTCCCCAGTGAGTTGAATCTAAATAAGTCGATCATCAAACAGCACATTGACGCCTTTTTCGACTTGGTCTATCCTATTCCCTGCTATGGCTTTATCCATAAGGCCACATTCTGCCAAAGTTGGGCACAGGACACTCACAACCCTCGACTCTTGAAGGCCATGTGTGGTCTTACAGCACGGTATCTTGCCTCAGGAGATCAAGGTCGTCTGCAACAAGCGACTAGATGGATACAGGAAGCGGAGATGCAACTCTTCATGCGACTGAGCGAGCCCTCACTATCGGATATTGAAGCACTCATGCTTACAACTCTGGATCACATCATGGCCCGCCGTTTCAGTAAAATGTTGATATCTGCATGCCTTGCAGCCCGGCTAGCCTATATGATGAGGTTGAACTATGAAGACGGCCGCCATGGGTTCCTCATGCAAGAGCGCCGCAGGCGTCTCATGTGGGCGATTTTCACACTCGACACACTTTACTCTAGTGGCCGGGCTGAGTTCACTGGATGCTCAAAAGAGACAATTCACCTGCAACTACCATGCAATGAGCGGTCGTTCACTCTGGACATCCCAGTTATGACGGAGCCCTTGTCACCTCCTGATATTCCTACTACTTCTGATCTGGGGCTTATGGCATACAACATCCGGGTCCTGGATATCCGAGATCGTATCCAGAGGTGATGCTCTCCATTTTCGCTGGACATGTACCTTAGCTAACATCAGTTTCAAGACTCTCTCACACGATAACACACCGTCGAAAACCACTTCCAGAATGCATCGAGCAGTTGAAAGGTCTTGCTGATGAGCTCGATAACTTACGCCGTTTACTACCACAACACTATCACTTCGACAAGAAGAATCTCTTCCTTCGCGCATATACTCCGCAAAGAACATCATTTGTCATGTTTCATGCGTGGTGGCACCAATGCCAGTGCGATATGTACCGATTTACTATTCCCGGCTTCCGGGAAGGGCTCCCTTTCGAAGACCTGCAAAGTCTATCACCAGAATTTGTCGCCTATTGCAGAGATCGCTGCCTTGAGCACGCGCTAGCTGTGTCGGACATCATGGCTACAGTAACTGAAATGGGGAAGGACATCTTCATTACTGACCCGTCCCTCGCGATGTGCGCCTTCCACTCCGCACGCGTCATCTCCCGCCTCGGCTCACCAGAATTCTCACGCTTACCAAGAGCATTATTGTTAGCCAAGCTTCAAGCTTGCTCGGATATCCTCGAAACTCCCTCCGAAGTTTACCCAACGACTAAGTTGCTTCGAGGTGGTATATCGGATCTGATCCACGATGCCGAGCGGGATTCTGGTGACTCTAGCCCAATGAGGTCCGGCTGGGACTTAGAGAAGCCCCATGAACATGCCGGCGAGGTTGCTTCTGTGCCGGATAGTACCGGCAGGGGCTCACGTGAAGTGTACTCCAAATACAGCGTGACGGATGAAATACGAAAGCTTAAGTTTCAACAAGATGGAGAAGATAATGTGCAGCCATACCTGGACGACAGTCGGGAGACGAGAGATCAGCATGATATGACTCATCCACATGCCTTCGGGATGCCCGACATCTCCAAGCCCGACGGCGCTCAGTCCTACATGGCGATGCAGCAAGATATGACAGGGAATTCGGTTGGGTTCCCGCCTGCTGGATTTGGAGGCAACACTGCGGTGTACGATGTTTCCATGACACTGGGATTTGAGCCAAGTTATGATGAATGCCAGCCAGATCTGTTCTTGGACTCATTTATGCCGCTTCAGACCGACTGGAATATGGCCGATCCTGGGTGCTTTTGAGATTCAAGGCTGTTTTTAGTCACATACCGAAGGTCTTGCCATCATGAAGTAATTTTAAAGCAAAAACATTTATATATTCCGTCTCATTATGCTCGAGTCTGAACTCGATTTGCTATGATTTGCGTGAAGGTCAGAGACCGTTCCAGAAAATGCTCTTCTCAATCTTGAAGGAACCCATCAATCCTTCAGTCGCGGACACCACATAAACAAGGTAGTCCCCTTTCTCACAACACCAGCTGTTCCTCTTCTCATCCCAGACGGCCGTACTGTATTTGTCGATTGGAATTGTTGCAAGTTTCCGCTCACCTGGCTCAAGATAGATTTTCTTAAAGCCCTTGAGCTCTTGTCGTGGCCGGGCAAATTTTGAATCTTGAGAGACGGCGACGTAGCGGATGTACATTTGAATAACCTCAGCGCCCGCCCTCTTGCCGGTGTTTTGTATGCTGAATTGGACATGGGACGGGCTGACTTGAATACCTGAAATGTCGAAAATTGTGTAGCTCAGTCCGTGGCTTTATGAAGCTTCTGTCAGCTCAACTTTTAACCGGATACGAGATACCAACTCACCCGAAAGGAAATGCAGGCGTGATACGACGCGTCTCATACCATCGGTATCCAACGAACACGCCCTCGGAGTAATGCACCTTCCCGTTGTCACTACCAAAGCTAAGGAAGGCAGGATTGTCTTCCAAACGGTCAGGGAAAGTCATAGGTAGCTTCCCGCTCGGGTTGATGCGCCCGAAGAGGACATCTGCGACAGCGTTCCCGGCTTCGTTGCCGCCGTACCAGCTGTGAATCATTGACTTCGCCGAGTGCCTCCAGGGCATCCGGATGGGGTTCCCTGCTTGTGTGACGATGATGGCGTCTGGCTGTGCTTTCAAGACAGCAAAAATGAGCTTGTCGACATGAGGGGGCAAGTCCATGTTTTTTCTGTCCTTGCCTTCCTTTTCCAGATCGGCCTGCGCGTGTGTGAGCTTGGTTTGTCGAACTTCAGATCTAACTTACGTTGAGACCAGCCACAACCACAGTGTACTTGCATCTCTTGGCCAGCTCGACTGCTCTCCGGATACCTTCTTTACGATCGATTTTCCGACACCCACCAAGTCTGCAAGCCCCACCTGGAATCGCTAGCAACGAGCCACCAGTTACCTTTGACGTCGAGGCACTTCCCGCCTCCACCCGCAGGACATAGCGCTCCCCGGCTATCATCTCGTAGACAGCTCGCGTTTCTGCAGATCCTTTACCAAAGAACATCCCTCCTGGTGTCTGTTCAGTTGAATTGTCGATGACAAGTTCGTCGTTGATGTACAAATTGCTTTCTCCGTATGATGCGAGACCGAATTCGTAAGGCCCGGTGTGTTCGGGTGTGAAATGCGCTCGCATAGACATGAAAAACGTCTCCGCCTTTTCGGGATGTCTGTAGTCCATGAGTTGATACGTGGTGTCGGGTATTGTGACATGATCGAATGGCTTCCGGCTAGCCATGTTATGCGGTTCATTAAACATCTCGATGGTAACCCCAGGGAGACCTGCGTCGTCGAAGACATGTTCTGCAGTGAAGGGAGGCAGCAAGATGTGTCCATAGACGCCAGGTTCATGGTGAACCTTCGCGTTTGGTAATGACCCTCGGATACCCTGCAGGACAGAGCTGGTGTAGTAGGGCCGCAGACTAGCACTTCCACCACCACATGCAGCAGGGATCTCTGCATTGGGTCCAATCACAGCCACTTCATCGCATTGTTCTGCTGTCAGCGGCAAGATGTTCTCCTCATTCTTCAACAACACAATGCTTTCGCCAGCTAGGCGTCGATTGAGATTTCGATCCTCGGGCACATCCCGAGTGGTCTCTTCCTTTCCAACTCTTGCCAAAGCCGCATCATTGACAAACTCCAAGACCTTCCTGGCGCGTTCGTCGATAGTATGTTGCGCAACCTTGCCCGAGAAAACCGCAGCAAGGGCCTCCTTCTCGCGATATCTGCTAGGTCCAGGCATCTCAATGTCGACACCGGCATTCAAGGCGGCTTCGCAAGAGTACGTCCCGTACCTGACGAGATTAGCTAATGCATACGAATGGACAGAGAGACTGCTGGTACCAATCGCTCATGATGAGCCCGTCAAATCCCCACTCTTTCCTCAAGATATCTTGTAGAATCTTGGGGCTTTCTGAGACGTGCAATCCCTGAACCTTGTTGTAAGACGACATGACAACTCTTGGGTTGCTATCTCGCAGAGCGATTTGAAAGGGCATGAGATAGATCTCACGAAGAGCTCTGTCAGATATGCAAACGTCGACCGACATCTTTTCCGTTTCTTGATCATTCGCCACGAAGTGCTTGAGAGCGGCTAGGGTTCCTCGTGACTGAACGCCTTTGATAATAGAACCCGCAAGAATTCCGCTGAGATGCGGGTCTTCTGAGAAGGATTCAAAGCCGCGGCCATTCAGTGGTGACCGGATGATGTTAACTGTTGGGCCAAGCCAGACGTGAGCTCCTTTGGCTTCACATTCTTTGGACAATAGTTTGCCGGCCTGTTCAATGAGTTCAGGATTCCAGGTTGCTCCTAAGCCGCTTCCGCAAGGTATGCACAGGGCCGGCACGGGGTTGAAGAACCTGGAGCCCCGGACGCCGTTGGGCCCATCGGTGCATTTGACAGCCGGGACGTCGTACTGTGGAAGAGGTGTGGAGTGCCAAAAGTCGGAACCTACGAGTCTGTCAATCGATGTCCCTTTAATGCAGGGGAAGACCTACCTGCTAGCAGCGAGATCTTTTCGGCAAGAGTGGCGTTCTCCAGGACATGTTCGATGTTGACCAGCTTCCGCGGGGGTGCCTCCATGGCAGAATCATTCCGTTCAGCACCCATTGTGCACCAGACTGAGGTCCTTCACAATCTGTTTGAATGATAGATAAGCCTTGAGTACGAGAAAGGCATACCTCATTCCACGTAGTGATGCTGGCAAGGAGATTCCGGACATGAGATGACATATCCTGCGCCTCGGATGTCGGCCGGAGAGGATCCCGGATGTCGCCATAGTGCAGATGGTCCAGTGGAGCAAACTAAATTAGGCCCGTAGAAGGTCGCATCCCGGCGGCATGGCCCCTGAAATGTGTTCATCAGCGCTCCTGTTAAATTGGCGGAGTCCTTTCGATGGCGGATGGCTGGCTGGCTCCTTGTCGCACATGACGGAACAAGAAACACTTGCAATGCACAACGTTTTCTAGCCTCCGACCACAAGGACATGTGGTCCCGTACCAAGCGATCGAGAAGAAAGAAATTTTGATATCTGTATTCATCGTCTCTCGTCGCACAGGTTTCCTAGGTTTCCTCGCTTCTTCTCTAGCCGAAAGCTGCCAACACACTCTTGTGACCACCATTCGCACTCACAGCAGCACCATTCACCCAGCGACCCTCCTCACTCGCCAAAAAGCCAACAATGTACGCGATATCCTCCGGCTCACCAATCCTAGCTGCTGCTGTGATGTCTTTGACCTGTTGGTCGAGAAAGTCTGCGGGGAAGGTTTTCTTAGCATTTTCGAAGGCGTCAGTCGCCGTTGGGCCAACGCTGACGCTATTGAACGTCATGCCCTTTTGTGCGGAATACTGCTCTGCAAAGGACCTTGTAAAGCTCTCCAGAGCAGCCTTGCTTGCGCCGTAGGTCATGATTGGGTCCCTATTTCCTTGCTTGCCAGCGATGCTAGAGATGTTGATGACTCGTCCGCCATACGCTGGAGCGTGGGGCATGAATGCGACGGTCAAGCTGACAGGGGTAAACACGTTGGCGTGCATCATCTCAGCGAAGTCTTCGGGTGTCGTCTCGGTCACCGCTTTAGGTCTATCGGCGTTTCCCAAGATTGCGTTGTTGACCAGAATGTCGATGGTCTTTGCCTCCAATCCAGAAAGGGCTTCATTGATCACTCGCTGACCGACATCATGGTCGACCATGTTGGCCTGGATCATACACGTCCGCTGAGCGCCGAGCTCGCGACAGGCTTTCAGGGTCTCCTCCGCGGCTGCCTGATTCGAGACATAAGTAATGGCAATATTGGCAATGCCCTTTCGCGCAAAGTGGATCGCGATCCCTCGTCCTATTCCTCGCGAACCTCCTGTGATAATCGCTGTTTTCCCGGCCAGAGACCACGGCTGGGATGTGGTGGTCGATTCCGACATAATGAGATTGAGATCCATGATTTCGAGATGACGGAGAAAGATGAGATGCTTGCTACCCCAATTACGCCCAGATTGGCAACGGCCTTGATTATGTACTGGTCCCAATGAAAGCGTTTGATGGGGATTACAAATAGCAACAGACTTCAGATGATGATTGCGCTTCGATCACTTCTGAGTTCCCGCTAGGTAATATTTGAGTTTCGGCTCGGGCATCAGGTACGTCCGAGGCTCGCAAGACTCACAGACTACCGTGAAACGGAATTTTGGAGAGTGGCATTGTTGGGAACTCTGACTTTCCCATTCGTCGGCATCTTTCCGATTCGTGATTTCTATCGGCTTGAGGGTCAGTCATGTGACGCCCAAAGTGGCACGATATATGCTCGTGGGTCAGCTATTTCAACTCAAGCAAAGTGCCTCAATAGAGGTTCTTTCTTCACAAATACGAGTTATCGATAACGGGCTATCGGTCGCTACTAGCCTGGCTCCTGTAGTCTTGATATGTCTTTTGTAACCGATCTTGCGTTATCTACTTTTTCGTTTGGTTGAGACCGAAGGTTGTTAAATGCGGCCAGTCTAAAAGGAATCATTAGCACAACTTCAACCTCAGTCCATACCTTTAACGTACCAAATGTGGTTCTCGCCGCGTTGACATGAGTAACCTTGACACTTTCGCCGACTTTCACACTCTTGCCAACTGAAGAACCGAAACAGTATCCATATCTTCCAAATACCGGACTATACTTGGCGCCCTTATCAACTCGTCGATCCTTGTTCAACTTCTTCCAAGCCATACCACGATCATCGGTTGCCGTCTTCCCAGTAGCAAAGTCTACTGTGATACTCTGACACCGGTAGCAGTTGGCTGTCAGCGGCATTTGAACTCCTCCGCCGAACGTCAACTCGCCCCAGAAGTCTTCCACGAAAGGGCCCGATGCACCTTTCACGACGATGTTTGGTCGAAATTTGGTGATGTCCATGCGATAGTCCCCATCTAATCGAGATGTAACCTGGTCGTTGGACTCTTCGGTGACCACAAGATAATGAGCCAGATCATTGAAGACCAGTCGCTCTTCCGGGAGAGAAAGAAAGGGTATAAGTGACTGGATACGCTGCAGGAGCCGAGCCCTTTTGAGTCCGCCTTTGCTGTGAGGTGCCATTGAGCCGAGGACTGGTCGTGATCCGTTGCCAATATAGGCCAGCCTGGTTTCAAAGCCAAGCCGTTCCGAGAACCAGGACGACAACTTATCGCCCATATCGTACGCTTTCGCGTCGCTGGCATGCAAGCTGATGCTGTACTCATCACAGCCTTGGGTGGAGGGCTCAAGAGGAAATCGAATCTCGTCCTTGGTATTAACCCCAGCCGCTCTTGCAGCCGCACCAAAGTCGGTATCGCCGCCATGCCACCTTACAACAACTTCGCCTCTGCTTGAACTTTCGCTTCTTCCGTCAAATTCTACTGTCGCTTGGAACAGTGCAAGTTGCAGGTAATACCCGGCCAACATTGTCTCGTATCTCTTGGTCTCGTCTTTATCGCCATCACGACGGACTCTCTGCAGAGAAAATGTTCGGTCCCCTATAAAACCGTATTTTCCTAGGTGGGCCTGTTGAAGAGCGCATCCTCGCAGACCTTTGACGGGGTAACAGTACAGCTACTCAGTATTCGTCAGCATACACAGACTCAACAAACTCCAAGTTTCGGGTCAGCTTGATACCTGTGTGATCTCTAATGAGTCTCCTGAAGTTGAGATTGACTGTAACAGTTGGCTGCTTATAAACAAAGTCGCTATCAGCGCCGCGACGACAACAACAGCGGCATTCGTCGTGATCGAGGGTAGGAAGGCTATCGGTATGTCCGTGATGTTGGTGATGGTGTCCATGACTTGTCTCTCTGCCCTGATGATCAGAGCTTTTGTTTCACTGGACTCTGGCAAAGTCAATGAGCGCCAGTCGCTTTCGCTAGACGGACTTCACGACAGTTTTATTGTGTAGTTGTGCCTATCTGTCGCAACTCCATGCAGGGGTAGACCCTAAACTAAGCCTCGACTTGTCATTCAGACTCCGTAGAACGTGCGGAGTCGCGACTAGAAAATGTCAATTCACACCAACTAAACCCATTACGGAAAGAAGATGGACCAAATCCTGCGGGCAGACAAATTCACGGCCAGACACCCCGGCCCGGATCCAACGCATCCTCACACCTTTCCCCGCACATCTCCCCCAGGTGCCGAACCCTTTATCGCCTATCGGTGAGAGGGGCGGGCTTGCGGAGCGGGTTTCTCAACACTGATAACGACCAACGTCAGATCTCTGTGTTCCTTATCGGACCCTCTCTCTGCATGATTCTTCAATTCAGCTCTACATCTGTCATCTGAACATAAGGAGATCCAGCTCCCAATTCGATCAAGCCATCGCATCATGGTCACCAACCGCGTCAGAGTCGTCGAGGGGTCCTGCTGGCCCTGCAAGAAAAGACGCATCAAGTGCGATCTCACCAAGCCGACTTGCGTTCGATGCGCCAAGATTGGCGCTGACTGCGATTTCAGCGTCCGGAGACTCAAGTGGTGCACGCGTCCGACTATCAAGGCCCCGGCCATCTACCAGATCACGACCCGAGATGTGCAACTAGCTTCATCGCTGGCCGCCGATGAGAGACGCGCGCTCGACTACTTCCACCACCGCCTATGGCCGATGTTCACTACCGCACCCGAACCCTGTGCCGCGCCGATTCTGCAGGCCCTCGAACATCGAGTCGTGCTTCTGGCGACATGTGTTATTGCCGACGCCCACCGGGTGCTTCAAGACGGGCGTAATAGCCGTAACCTACTCCGTATGAAGCGGCTGGAATGCCTGGCGGCTTTGAGAGGCGAGCTGGGCGACACGCAGATAGCCAAGATCGACAAGGAGTCACTGATGACACTGCTTCTGGCAGTACTACTGCTCTACTTCCACGACGGGTATCTAGAGTGCGCACAAGCTTCCGCGTCGACCACGAGCCATCATGGTGGTGTACGGGCAATCGTCGACAGCCTGGGAGGCATCAACACCGTCCTAGAAACCAGCCACGAGTCGATACATATGCTCCTTTCCGAATTTGCGTCTACGGACCTCACGTCAGTCATGCTTAAGGGCGGCCAGCCTGCCTTCAAGGCGGAGATTTGGGAAACGATAGATACCCGAGCTGTTTGGTGGGGGAGAGATATCCTCGGCAGGTCTTCATTGGCATCAGTCTTCCAACAGATATCTCGCTTGGCATGGTATCTAGATGCGCTGATCAAAGGATCAGAGCAACTCTCCATGTCAACCGTGAGGGACTTCGAGACTGCGCTATCGCCGGTATATGCCAGAATCACCGACGCAGCAGAGAGCGATACCGAAACTGAGACGGTGGCCAACGACGCGTTCACACTCATTCGGGTATTTCAACATACGGCACTCATCTACATGTACCGAGCCATATGCGGCCTGCCGGTCTCTCATTCCCTTGTGCAGCAGCACGTTCTTCCGTGTTTGGAGTGCATTCTAGACATCAAGCAACCATCCAAGGTGCTCAATTGTGTCATCTTTCCTCTTCTGGTGGCTGGTGCTCATGTGTCCTCACCAAGACATCGAAAGGCGGTGCTGGGTTTGGTTCAGGTTATCCGTGATGAGATACGATTCGCTTCGTTTCATTCTGTGTCTGATGTTCTCACTGGGATTTGGAAGGCTGATCGGGAGGAGGTTTCATGGTTTGAAATGTTTTCGGAACTTGGAGTTGATGCGATTGTACTATGAAATGGTATTATGTTCGTCCATGCACACTAAAATATACCCGGATGTCACTACTCTACAGAACCGTTCCCATATTCAAGTGCACAGCCTTCGTTTGTGTGTAAGCTGCGAGACCTGCCTCTCCCAATTCGCGACCAACACCACTTTGCTTGACACCACCAAAGGGAACGCGGATGTCAGAGTCATTAGAGCTGTTGATCCACACCATGCCGGACTCCAGACGAGCGGCTACACGGTGGCCGCGCTCAATGTCGCGGGTGAACAAGGCCGCACCAAGACCATAGGATGTGTTGTTAGCCAGCAGAATGGCCTCTTCTTCCGTCTTGAAGGGCGTAATGGCAACGAAAGGTCCGAAGACCTCCTCCTGGAAGATTCTCATGTCTTTCTTCACATCAATGAAGACAGTAGGCTCAATGAAAAAGCCCTTGCCATCACCGACATTCTTGTGGGGAACACCGCCCGTAACTAGCTTGGCACCTTCATCCTTACCCGACTGGATATATGCCAAGACCTTGTCGTACTGGGCCTTGGTAATCTGAGGACCTTGGAAAGTGTCGTCCTTGAAGGGGTCGCCAACCTTGTTCTCGAGACAGATCTGCTTGAATCGTGCGACATACTCCTCATAAACCTCCTGTTGAACAAGAATTCTGGACGTCGAAGTGCAAATCTGGCCTTGATTGCTCATGATGCCGACATGTCCCCACTTGGCGGCTTGGTCGAGGTCCGCGTCCTTGAAGACCACAAGGGGTGACTTGCCACCGGTCTCTAAGGTGATGTTCTTGAGGTTGACGCTAGCCCCCTTCATAATCTGACGACCAGTTGCAGTGGAACCTGTGAAGGCGATCTTATCGACGTCCTCGTGGGAGACGAGGGCGTTTCCGGCCTCTCTTCCGAATCCGTTCACAATGTTGATAACACCAGGCGGGAACCCGGCCTTTTCGATCAGGGTAGCGAAGTAAAGAATAGAAAGAGGAGTCTGCTCGGCAGGCTTGAGAACCACAGTATTACCACAAGCCAAAGCAGGGCCGAGCTTCCAACTGCAAAATCCTAGTGAGCAAGGTAATTACGGAGAGCTTTGAGGATTTCAACTTACGCCGCCATCATCACTGGGTAGTTCCAGGGAATGATTTGACCGCAAACACCAATTGGCTGCTTGAGTGTATAAGCGAACTTCTGTGGTGTTGTTGGGATTGTCTCGCCGTGGATCTTGTCGGCCCATCCAGCGTAGTATCTCAAGGTGGCGATCGTCTCAGCGAGGTCCTCGCCGACAGCCACGCTGAAGGGTTTTCCGCCATTCCAAGTCTCCAGAGTCGCAATGGTTTCTTGGTGTTCTTCAACAAGATCTGCCAGCTTGAAGATCAGTTGGCCTCGCTCGGTGTTGGAGATGTCGCCCCAGCCGGGACCATAGAGGGCGGCTCGTGCAGCCTTTACGGCCTTGTCGACGTCTTCTGGGGATGCGGCTTCGACAGAGATGATTTCGGACTCATCACTGCATGATTCGATTAGCTGACGGCATCATCGATATGGAAACCTGGTTCGTCAAAATGAACGTACCTCGGGTTGATGGCAGTGATTTTGGAGCCAGACGAGGCCTTCACAAACTCATTGTTGATGAAAAGACCGGTGGGCAGGTTGATCTTGGTGCCGTTTGGCGCAGTGAGATCTATCGCAGGTGCCGACATGTTGAAGAATTTGGAAACGTGAATGTGGTATACGAGGTAATCCGGTATCAGTGACGGCAGTGCAGAAAATAAAACGTGGGAGGAAGACGCGCAGATAGCCCTCAGAGCAGCTTGCGCATCTTAAGACACCCCGAAGACCCCGCCATATCGAGCGTTCTCAGATACAGTGACAATCAATTGCTCACAGATCGAATACTGATTTGTCATTGAACCCATTTGGGCAACGTAGTCGACCATCAAGCCAGTCGTTATAACAGACCCGCATGTCCTACGCTACATGGCAAACTATTCTCCTGATGTAGAAAAAAGATGGGCAATTTGAGACGAGCTACCAAAAGGCCTCCCCAAAACAGCCTACAGAGCTCCCCCGCATTCCGCAAGACATGCCCAGGATAGCTCTGACATCCTGGAGACCTGGTTCTTGAGCTCTGGCGGAGGGGTCGGCTGGTGCGGGGTTGATGCAGGGCGTGCGGCTTGAGCTCCAACCTCAGCTTTCCGAATTGGGTAACAATTTGGACCAATTTAGTGGGGCGTCGAACATGGCACAGTCATGGCGCACATGGATGAGCGGACATGATAAGGTTGATTGACGTCTAGCTTGGGCATATCCTACATCAAGGATCATTGGCTGGCGCCATTTTGAATCGGAAGAAGGCTGCCGAGACTGACAGCAGGAGGAAGACAACAGCCAAGTCCATGGTACTCCGTTGCAGTCGCCAGGATGAGGCAGCTCCAACAGACTTGACCTTGGAGTCTTGCATCTGGGAAGAAGTTGAGCAAAATATCCAGCCTTCGTTAGGAGTAGGCTTACCTGAGGCTCATCTTTCAATTTCCCAACTAGAAGTGACTCGAGTTTCTCCCTAGCAGCTTCGCTGTGTCCAACTTCGTGAAAGGCTTCGGTGGCATCCTGGCCAAGAACCTCAACTAAAATGTCGTCGCCACCACCGCTGAAAGTTAGATATTACAAGGTGGTGTGAAAAAGCGCTGGAACACATACGGATGCTCGGTCAAATACTCTGTTACGTCGTAAACCTTCTTACTGACAACAATAAGGCCAGTACGATCGGTTGACCGCTGAGCAACGTCCTGGAGCGTGAAGGTTTTGGACATGTTGATAAAATTTGAGAGAGAGTTGAAATTCGTTTGTAAAGATCAGCTGAAGAAAGCCCTGAGAAATTGAAAGCCTGAATCAAAGGGGGTACTACAAGTTATAGATACCTAGTGGTCGCGAATATAACAACGGCCTCGGCTGGCGCCAGAATAAAGTAGATACAAATGACATTGCTATTCAAGTATAGATTGGCCCGCTTTATTGGTTCCTATCCTCTGCGTACCTTTGTAGAGACTCTTCTGGTTCGTTGCGGAATGCCTAACTTCTGGTAATACCGAGAGCAGGAATTGACACGAGTCACTTCGCACGCTGTCTAGAAAGCAGAAATATAGACTGTTTATTGGATGCCTTGCGCATGTGCCATGTGCTTAAGCTGTTGATGTCAAAGCCTGCGTCAAAGCTTGCGTCACAGCTGCGATTTCTCGTAAGGAAGTAAAATGAACACTTAGTGAGTCATGGATGTACCTCAGTGATCTTTCGTATTGCATGTTGTTAAACACCATTATCCTTGCTAATTAACCAGCATGTTCCTCGAAGCTTCAAGCAGGAATGAGAGCCTCAACCTCGATCTCCACCTGCATACCCTCTAGCCCAAGCTTGCCAATTTGGATACAAGTCCAAATAGGTCGGTGATTGGGGAAAAGCTTCTTGAAAAGCGCCGTCATAACATCAAAACTCGAATCCATGTCGAGATGATACGAGCGGATTGCATGAATGTCGTTGAAGGTCAGCCGAGAGTCGACGGCCTTGAGGGCCTTGAGAACATTGTCGAAGGCAATGGCGATCTGCTTCTCAAGGTCTGGAGTGATGGCGCCGTTTTCATCCCACCCGCCTTGACCGGATGTGCGGACAATGTTGCCCAGCTTCACAGCTTGAGAGTAATGATATTGCTCCGCATTGGATTCGGTACCGGGATAGTTGAAGAACTGTGCCGATGCCATGTTTCAGGATTCAGATTCTTGTTGCAGAGTTGAAAGAAATTGATTCGTGGTGGGCTTTCGTAAGTGACTTGGTTTGCGGATTGTGGCCAGTGATGGAGACTACCTGAAGTCATATCTACTGCGCCTACTTATCTACGCGTCTGGTGCCAAGCTCTCGGTAACCGCGTCGACCGATGTCAGACTACCACGTGTTGAAGCACAGCCAACGCGGGGTTGACAGGGGCCATCAGGTCGTGGGCAGCAGTATGGTCGATCTAATTGCTAATCTGGTGGCGTCATTTGAATACTCCTCACGCGGGCCGCTGCCTTGACTCCTATCTGAACGCGGAGGGATGGATAACTGCGGGTCGATCTTGACTGTTGTCAGTCCGTCATGATGTCCAGGTCCAGGAAGTGGTCCATGTTGTTACTGGACCGGGTATAGCGCCATAATGCGGGGTGTTTGAGGGTGAGCATTCAACCGATATGCCCGGCTCCGGGCAAGTATGCACACAAGTGGGTTGCCAAGATCGGAGCCGCATATAGCTCCATCCTGCAAAGAGATAGATTAAGACGATCGGCATACCACTTTTGATGTGGAGCTTCGGATGGATATCTCATAACCGGAATGGGAGAGCCTCCACGTTGATAACAACCTACATTCGTCGAAAGATACGACCAAATGGTCATGATAGTGGAAGTTGTCACTCTCCAAGTCCTATCTTTATACGGAGCATGGTTATCAGCGCTTGATATATGATGGGTTTTTTGATACCGTCAGCTGGGGTTCGACGTTTTCGTTAAATTTCCTGATAGAGGTGATCCGATTCTGATAGCCCCTCCTCCTCGGATGTGGCCTCCGTCTTGAGGGAATGATGACCAGACCTGTAACTGTGCCGTCTCCAAAGGTTTGCGGAGTAAATTGAGCCTTCTTCCGTGGACAAAGTCTCCAAATCATGCAACCGAGAAAATAAGTTAGATGATATGAACCTTGTATTCACAGCCATAGCGTCGAGACCCAAAGTTTCCACACCACATATCAAAGGTCTGACGACTATCACAGAGATCAAGAGTGAAGAGCCTATCTCGGCTGTTGAGGCCGCTGGTCAATGGCAATTTGGAATGCTAGTAGTGGTACAAGCCTACCCGACTTCGAGACAGAGTCTACGAATATGCTAGGGATACAGAGAGCGTACTACTACCTGCTGAGACAAAGAGTTCTTTGGGAAAGGGTTCTACGTGTTATTAAAAAAGGATTTATTCTAGACTGCGGTATTCAATGAGCATTAGCTCCGTGCTTCTCGACTAGCTTCCAGTATTGTGATGCAGCATTTCTCCTCAGCGGCTTGCCGATGAAGATCATGACCACACACAAAGCCCACAGAGCCACACCAAGTGCAGCCGTCAGGATGAACGCATTTCTGAGGCCAATATTCTCAATCATTGGTACGACAGCGTAGCTGAAAGCAAAGCCTAAAGTACGTTAGCTTGTGTGCTGCCGATCGAAAGCGTGAGAGACTTACCCATCGTATTACGAATCATAATAACAGATACAAATCCTTCTCCAGCAACTTCCTTGAAGCTATCCAGAACGTATGTGAAGGCCAGACTAGTGCCTAAAGGTAGCGTGACTGAGATGATTCCCAATCCAAAGGCGATGCCAACCCAGTGAATACCCAGCGATGCTCCGACTCCGTATAGAATGCATCCGATGGGATGGGCAATGAGTGCCACGATGCCGAGCCAGAGGCGATGCTCCGGTTCCATCACCCCGCCATGTCTGCGTGCCATGATCACTGACAAGGCATCGCTTGCCCACCCAGAGATAGCACAGCCAATGGAGACTCCAATGACAGCAGCCAGGTAGAAAAGACCAATGACGTTCGAACCGAAGTTGTAAGGAGGATTGCCGAGTATCAGGGCGAGAGACCCGCCGACAACATTGTACCATGATAGGATGCCGCCAACAAGAAGGCCCGCGAAAAGGACAGTCGGAAACCGCAGCAGATGAAAAGGCAGAAGAGTTCGTTTGAAGTTCCTTGGCTTGCGAGAGTCTTGGTATCCCCATAGCTTCAATTTCGACCAGAATGGCCGATCGGTAATAGAGCTGTATCCCTGTGGCTCGTTGATGTCGATACTAGAGTTTATCGTCGCGACTCCAATGTTGTCAGGCTGGGGTTTTTTGGTCTTGTTCACAACCCTATCACTCAAAACTCCTCCCTCAGTGTCAACAGCGTCAGCTTTGAGCCCTGCCGTGCCAATGATCTCCGGGTGAACACTCGGTCGGTAGAACATCGTCTCCTCAAAGAAGAGAAACGTTGAGACGCTGAGCGCGCCACCCAAAATGGACAGGATGTATTGAATCCATCGCCACCCCAGGGCTTCAGCCACAAATCCTGAAGCCACGGGGCAGAGAAAAGCACCGCACCATAGCGTCCAGCTGTAGATTCCCATGTAGAACCCCCTTTGGTGAACGAAGAAGAGGTCATCAATGATGACCTCGATAAGGGTCTCCATCGGGGAGGAGACAACGCCGAGAATGATTCTGTTGATGTAGAACTCGGCGCTCGACTTCGTGTATGCGGACCAAAGAGTGACGAAGGTCGTCAAGACAATGGAGAAAACGAGACTAGGTCGTCGGCCATAGACCAAAGCGAAGTTTTGGGTGATCAGTGTTCCCCATCCAAGGAAGAGGTACATCAGGCCATTGCCCGTACTCAGGTTGGCGACTGATATTCCCGTGTCGGCTTGTATTTGCAGATAGGCGGGCGAAAGACCGGAAACAATGGCGGCAATAAAGAAGCACCAAATCATCACCCAAATGATGTTGAATGTCTTGCGCTTCTGAGTCCACGCGAGCGGATCATTGGGGTCGTTGCTCGGCTGAGGAACAAGCACGATGTTGGGTTGGCCACTTCCGTGCTTCACATCAAGAACACCCTGGGTGTCAACGAGTTGAACCGTTCCCGGAACCTCAAAGGAAGACATTGGCTGTGACATGACAGCTGTTGAGATGTAAAATGAACAAAAAAGAGTTTGTAGCTTCTCGGCCTGATTCAGCGCAATTGTGTGCAGCGAGCTGACGATATATCACGAGAATCTCCGAGGATTATGGCTAATTCCAAACTGCCGAATGAGTGGTCGTCGAATGCAGGATTCCTGCATACCATGTTCTAGGTTGCATATACTGGGTTCTGTGCCTTTATGTATCAAGAGGTCTCATCCATGCGTACGCTAGACCGATCGGGGGAAAAAGATGGGCCAGCACCACCTGGTCAGTCGCCCCAGCATGAGTCGCACGAGACGACTGCAAAAGTCACTGCCCAGGAATCGTAATCTTTAGTATTAGCTATCCGGGAGCCAAGGATGGCCACGTATAGAAGCTAGAGATAGAATTCTTCTAGGGTAAAAAGCGCAGGAACGGCGCTCTTCCCCGCATGAGCCCCGTTGTGACCAATGTACCGTTCTGATAAGTTCTCGTTCGAGAAACTCCACTACGTCTAGCTAAGTAGTGACTACCGGCGTTCAGGCCGAGATAGTTAACTTCATCGCCCGAGTTGTGCATGGGATGCGCGGGACGAAGCTAGCGCTATCAAGCTACCGAAGTAAGCTGCAGTAGCCCTCATCGCGGTGCCTGATAACCAGGTTGGCGATGAGAGAATTGCAACCTCACGCGAACCTTATTTGCTTCTAGACGGAAAGTTTCTCGGCTGAATTTTGACAATTATAATCTAAGCGGAATCGCCCTTAACCTTGTTTCTTCTCACGAAGCCATAAGCCTGAGGCCCAGACCCCGTGGACCGCCTTCGGCCCTGAATTTTTGGGTCCACATTGGCCCGGATTCGACGGCCCGTTACGACCCCACGACGTCCGTGTGAATGGGTCTATCTCGTTGACGCCCCGGCAGTCCCCCGGAACACGGAACACGTTATCACCACCACGAGGCATCACTGAGATCGGCCCGCTTGACTGCCATACCAGCGCTGAATCATTAGAAGCTGAAACATTGGCTTCGTATTCCATGTCAGATGCTTCAAAGGCATTAGAGCAAGTGGGTGCTTGATTGCTAGCAATAGAGTTCATAGTCCTGATAAGCCAGATGGAAGCTTCACTCGAAGATATCCCACATCGTATATCATACTACTTGCCCAATGCCATAACGAACATTACATCTGCTGTGTACCAAAAACCCAGAAAGGATCGTCCAAATACCTACTTTTCTTCGACTTCAACCTGTTTGCGCCTAACCGTAGGCAATGGCTCGGCGTAAACACCAGTCTTCTTCCGCTTGTCTCTGCGACTCGACACACAACACCACACACAGCAACCGCACAGCATGATTCCTATAACTGAAGGAATGACTGTGACCAGAACCAAAAACTCAGTAAGACCACGATTACCTTCAGGTCGGTATGATATTCTTGTCGTAGCAATCGCTTCGCCGGGCACCCAAGTATCCAACGCCGTTGACAGACTTGGTGGCGGCGGAGACAGTGTCGAGGTGTCGGACTCTTGCCATGTGATGTGCCATGCAGGATGAAGATCATATCCTTCGGTATATACTGTGGTTGATCCGTTTGAATATATAGCCGTGCGATTACCATATGTGTCATAGTAGCTGTTGAAGTACCCCAAGCATACCGGATACATGGTCTCGATTGGCAGTATGTCTGAGGTAGTTGTGACTAGTCGGTAATTTCTTATCATTGTTAGTAATTTCAGGCGACCTATGGGGATGCCAAGACGGTGATAGCGCCAACCTCAGACAGCAATATGCCGTGGATAGTGTGGTAGAAGATATAGTTTTTGTAGCCAGGAGATGTGCTACCCAGCCACTTGGACACACTGCAGGACTGAAGTTCAATTGCCTGCGTCCGTCGTTTTTCTTCCACTGGGATGGCTGGCATGCTGAGATGCGCGGATTAGCCAAATTTGAAAACGCTATATCAGTGGTCCCTTTTGTCGTCCCGTCTACGTGAATCCACATTGCAGCCTCTCGAATAGTAGCGCAGTCCCAGGGATACCTGAACGGAGTTGTGAGCGCATCCTTTTCAAGTTCCGTGGTTGACGCTAATGCGACAGTTGAAGTGGGTGCGAGTGTCATGGTTGTAAAAAGTCGAGTGCTGGCAGGTTTTGGAAGACTCTTTCCCATTCAAATGAGGAAGTCAAAAGTGGGACGGCAATAGTGTCTCTAAATACCCCCTCCCCCGCGGGAGCATTTCGACAATAAATTCGTATTCCAGGCACAGCCGCACAGAGCCTGTAGACTGAGCAAGCGTTAACGCCAACCGAAGTCTCCGTACCAAGACAATGTCCCATTGCGAGTGGCTCAAAAGGCTCGCTTCCGAGAAATTGTCATCCTCAAATTCACTGGGACCTTCCTAAACAGCGTTAGCAAAACCAGGAGGTGACTAAAATTGGATATGCCTCTGCTCTGTGCCGCATCCGCCACAGTCGACTTTGATCTCAACCCGTTTCCATGGATGTTATGTTGGAAGTGACTAGTGACTACCCAGCCCACGGCGTTATCCGAGGATTTCTATTTGGCACCCGTCTTGGGTGTAGCAACTACGTCGGAATCGCCCGCTTGCTAGCAAATCAATGTAAATCTATAGTTGACATGCTGCATTTTACTGGGCCCATTTTTAAAAGACGCTCAGTATGGCACCTCTGAAAAATGTCAATTTGTTCTAACTGAATAAGAAACGACTCATTCGAAATCTAACTGATTGCTAAGTCCAGGCTCAAATGATGGTAATGACTGTAATGCTCTATTGATCAAAGAGACTTCCGGGGTGTCGTCGCAAAGGTCGATCAGGCAATTGGGTGCAGACGTTAAGCTTCCATTTGGAATTTACGCCTTCTCCTTCGGGTCTTTTTGATCTCGTTCATCCTTTCCCCAATTCTGAGGATCTTTTCTCCGCGCAACGGCAGCGCGGTGAGTGTTCATCATTATTTCTTTCGACTTGACTAAATTATCATCCTCTCTTTTCTTGTCTTTGTCCTGCTTTTTGTCATGGTGCATATCATCCTTTCTCATGGACTTGTCATACAAGACAGTTTGGCGTTCGAAATTGTCGTCCGAATCGGTCTTCCTATGCTGCTTGTCACCCTTGCTTGACGACATACTAACTATAAACAGTAACCAACCTTAGCAAATTTGGACTATTCACCTATCAGAGCACGAAGAGAGGAACTCACTTGAAGAAAGCGTTGAATTCAACGTATGATGATATGTTGCCTGGATCGTCTTTAAAACCAATATACGCTTGATTTGAGACTGCTTTGAATTGAAGCATCAAAAGGCCGATCTATTCGCAGGATTTTATCGTGTCCTTACTTCTTCACGAAACGGTCATCTCGAAATAGGCATCTTGTGAAAGGTGGTGTGTTCACGAACACACGTCTTAGAAATTGTATCTGCCTCGAGTATGCTTCCGTCCAGTTGATGGCTCGAACTTGTATTCTAATTCTACAATTTCAGACATGTCTTTCACTTTCTGGCCACTGTTTTCGGTGGAAGATACGAAGAACCGAAGAGATTCATGTTCTGAAATGGGTGTTTACCAAAACAAAAGTGCACATCAATTATGGTTTCCCTTGGCCGATCTCCGACATAATCAAGTTTTACCAATGCAAACCGCTTTGATGTCTCGTTGGAGGTGATGGTTTTCACAACGGTTTCCTTTTGTTTTCTCCTCCACCCTATTACGGCTGCGGTGAATCAGACCAGGCTGGAGATAGTGAAAGCTAGTGTTCAGGGTTATGCTGATGAAAAAGCGGGCGTTTTCCCCCTCTTGCTTCGCTCTTGTTTCCTCCCCCCAAAAAAACTCCCAATTCATTGCTGAACAACGTGGCAGGCCCCAATGAATGGAGCTACAGCTGCGGTATTGGTTGGAACGGATGAACAGTCTACTTAACCCACCAAGCCTTACATAAGGGTGCCGATGGGTGGGGGCTGTCAAATTGTTGTCGCCAAGGATTGTGCCTCACCGCAGCAGGTGGATGACAAGTGTAGGTCAGCTGGTCACCGCATTTTACCAGCTTCCGGTGAGCAATTAAAAGGCTTTACCTGCTTTGCATGGTTTCTCTGCCTGTGGTTTTATTTTGTTTGTTCAATCTCTCTTTCCCCACCAAGCTCCCCCGCCCCCGGGCATGACGACATATCAACTCTGGACGAATTCTTTCTGACAGTGCACAACGCGAAAATGCGTGCTCGGCAAAACTCCGACAACGATGCATGGGACCGGAAGGACGACGGTTGGGACGAAGCTGTGAGAGAAGCTAGTTCGGAGTCCCGATATCGCCAAATCACAGCTTTCGTCGAGCGAGTCTTCGAAGAGTGCGCAATGATAGCCTTTCCAATATACGTCGGCGGCTCACATGTCTCATACCCAATTCGATTCGGAGGCTCTCCTCTTAGGGTCGTGGTACGGTTACCTCTCACGGATCAAACGACTTTCGCCGCAGAAAAGCTCTTCTTGGAAGCTGCTACGACCGAATGTCTCTCGAGGCAGTCTCAGTTATCTGTTCCCAGAGTCTATCATTATGGAATGGACCCTGAGGTAGGGGCGTTTAGTATCATCCAGGATTACGGTGCCAGAACGAGTATGTGTGAGTTAATGTGGGCTCAACGACCAGATGAAAGCAATATGCCGATCTTATCTTCTGAAATCTCAGAAGAAAGACTCAAAATGCTTTATCTGGATATGGCCCGTTGTGTGCTCCAGATCGCGCAGCCCGCATTTCCTCTTCTCGGCTCTCTGGTCGGCACGACACCTGGATCATGTGCTGTATTAGCGCGGCCCATCACTCTCAATATGTCCAGTATGGTGCAGCTCTCTAACGTTCCCGAATCAGTGCTGCCATCTCCAGGTTCCACGTACCAATCAGTTGATGATTGGTACGTGGCTTTGGCTGACATGCACATCGCGACACTTCTATTTCAGCACAATGACATTGTGTCGTCGGAAGATGACTGCCGTTGCAAATACGTTGCGCGACAATTATTCCGCAGACGAGCCAAGCAAGGCCAACTTTCCAACTTCGGGTTTGCTGAGGATGACTGGTCAGCCCGTTCTGTCGCCGATCAATCGAGGTTAGCGATGCCCCCTCGGTCAGGCTCTTTCCGCCTTTGGAATGATCATTTCCGGCCATCGACTGTCCTGATGAATGAAAGCGAAATGGTTCATGGTGTAATTGACTGGGAGTTTACATATGCCGCGCCAACTCATTTCGTCTTCGATTGTCCTTGGTGGTTATTGCTCGAGTGGCCTGAGGAATGGAAAGACGGCATTGAAGAATGGGCGTACATTTATGAGATACGGTTAGGAATATGGTTATCAGCATTGGAATATGTGGAGGGTGAGATGGGTCCAGGTTCCTTTCGCCTTTCGACTTACATGCGGGATAGCTGGAAGACGGGCCGATTTTGGTTGAACTATGCCGCCAGAAACAGTTGGGCGTTTGACAGCATCTACTGGAAGTATCTAGATGAGTTATTCTTCGGTGCCAGGGACAATGGAGTCCCGCATGAGAAACTCTGGGAGACGAGGTTGCATCTTCTGGCGGACGAGGAACAGGCAGCGATGGAGCCGTTGGTACAAATCAAGATGGCAGAATCGAAGGAACGAACTTTGATTGACTGGGAAGATGAGAAAGCAAAGCAACGTATGTCATCGTTCCTTTTTGATTAGGTATTCAAATACTGCATTCCATATTTCTCTGCGAGGAAATTCGAATTGAATTGAGGGCAGCGTGAATTTTTCCGCCGCATCCCCTCGACCAGCAATAACATCAGTTTCAATCAGCAAATACTTTTCTAGAATCCACATGTCTTCTTACCCGGGCAGATACTTTCAACTAATCCGACGAGAAACTACTTACATCAGCTATCACCTGTGCTGATTGAATATTGCTTAAAAGAGGAAAAATAAGACAAAATCTATAAGACAGCCTCTATCGCCATTGCTGCTGCTCTCGTCGTCTTTATTGTATAAAATCATTGTCACAGAATCCCCATGGCGAGCGCTCTCTTTACAGAAAGTTGCTGGCTAATTATCTGACACAAGAGTCCTCAAGTCATCTTGCGAGTTACAGGCGCGCAGGTCATTAGGAATAAAGGTCTATTATAGGAGTAACTATTCAGAAGGGTGGTCTATATCGTAGGCTAATATTTATACGCGTAGCTTACGTAATACTATACGTTATGTGATAAGTAGTGAAGCTATAGCTTAAATTAAGGGTATTATAATATACCCCCTTAAACGTTATAAATAGCTGAAAAACCTATTCCTTACTACTATATACTTAAAACCTAGCTAAATTTATTATATAAAATATATAAAAATAGCTTTTAAAGTAATAAAATAAATAAATAAATAAAATTAGCGTTTATAGTTATATTTATAGAATATAAGAGTACTTAATAAGGTTACTTAGTGATTAAAGTAAGTTATAAATATATTTAGAATTAATAAAATTTCCTAATATAGTTAGTATAAGCTATTAAGTATAAATAGTAAAAGTAAATAAGACCTCTTATACTTTTTTATAATTAAATTTTTCTTTTTTAAACTACTTATAATTTATAAAAATAAGTTTTTAAAAATCTTAAATTACTTACTATAACGCTTATATACTATTATAATAATTATTAGATTATTTAATATAATTATTAGAACTTTTACTAACTATTTTATAAATTAGAATTTATAATACTTATTAATAAAAAAAAAGCTACTATTTAGATATATAAAGTATATAAGTATAAAAAAACTACTATTATTACTAATAGCTCTCTCTCTATCTCTAATAATAATAATAATATTAAGGAGTTTACTATACTCTCTAGCTTTTCTATATTTCCCCCCTCTTACCCCCTCTATTTTACTATTAAAGAGGTTAA